ATAATGGTCCTGTCTTTTGAGGCATGTAATGATGTGTTCTCAGGCTTCATTGAAATGTAGTTTTACTAATTTAATGCTTTTGGTTATGTTTCTTTCACTGGATCTTTAGTTAAGTGAAGGCAAGAGCCGAGAACTCTTATCTTGGTAGAGGAGTTGATAGCAGTTTCTACATTTTAATGAGTTTTCCCAGTCTTGTGTAACATCTTTCAAAACTTCAGGGGCTACCTTAAAGAATACACAAGTAGGTTTACCACACTGTGCTTTATAAAAAAGAGGGCATTCATTTGCCCTTGATTGAAGTAGTCATGTTGTAGCAGGTGAGGAGATGCGTGGCATGTTTTTGCTCCTTTCCTGACGTATAATAAAGAACATTTTGGCCATACATTCAACTGAACCTTCTGTATCTTTATTATTGTCAGCACCTGATAATGTCAAGGTTGACGGCGAACACTTGAAGGGGATTCCTCTGCCCCCCAACCCTGCCCAGGTGCCCAACCCTATTCAGCCTCACCGCGCCAAAGACCAAGTTCCAGCAGAGGCAGTACACCACCGCCAAAGTGAGTTCCTCCATGACAATTTAAAAAAGGCAATACTGTAATTTGCGAGGGAGGTTGTGGTTGGAGGCCTTTTTTAAAAATTAAATTGGTAATAGATTTTGAGGGGTTGGGAAAAAATAACAATACACGTGAAATAATAAGTAATAATCACAGCTAATCTTGTTAGTGCTGCCTTTGTGCGTAGCTTCTGCCTCACAGCTCTCTGTGATGTTTGTCAACTCAGAGAGTAAAATAAAATTTTGTGCGATGCCACTGGTGTGAATTTTGCCCATTGTTAACTGGTTACACCCCAACTTCTATGTAACACATTTTCATCTGTTTGAATGTAAGTCATGTCTGAATATGGGTAGGAGCACTGTCAGGGAGTAGAGAGAGGGCTCAGTTGCAGAGGAGAGGAGACAAATGACACACACCTGGCTCCCAGATGATCCTTTCCTGCTGCCTGGCTTCTGCTCTGCTCTGCTGCCTTTTCTCCCTCCTTCGCCTCTGTTTTCATTTGTTCTGTTTTCATCCTCATACATCCACCCCACCCTCAGCAGCTCTGCTGCTTAAAACACAGACTGTATTCAGTTCACGTCTTCATTTTGTTTTTCCTTCTAATCTTCTGTCTCTGATCTCTTTATACTTGCATCCTATTATGGCAAATTAACACCCGACACCCACCAGATGTCTCCTTTTTGGCAGTGTCTGGTGCTCACTAGACACTAGCAGCTCAAAGACACTGCCTGGCTCAGTGCATCTTGAGTCCCCACCTAATCCTGTCTTGATCAACAGAAATATCAGATCGGTAGGAGGTGAGATAGGAACATAAACTGCCACAGATGCTTGTGTGATAGAGGTTGGACAGGCATTTTTTTCTATTATTGCCACCTGTAACAATGAAAATGCCCACTTTCTGTTCAATATTAAAACAGGTTAAACACTGGTAAATATTGTACATTGATTGGGAAATGTCACTTTTCCACAGTAACTTGTTCATATCTACAATATTCAGTAAAAAGACCTCAACTTCTTGCTTTTGTTTTTGTACTATTTATATTTGAACACACATCAAATACACCTTTATAGCATAAAGAACAATTGTTATCCTTTTCCAACATTAAAAGTTAAATGACCTATCCACACAGGCCTCTGCATCTGAAGGTGCACTGAATTGAGGTGTTTGTGATTTTCATATGTTAATGAGGGTGGATGACATGTGACATTTCTGTATACAACACAGTTGAATGAGTCACAACACTTACTGTATGCGTGGCCTTCAAAATGAACCTGAAGTTGAATCAACCCTTCTCACAAAAACTAAACATAAGATAGGATTTACAGCAGGGCTATTGTATTTGATTGATTGGATTGCATAGATGATTAAACACGTAACTCAATTAGTCCTCAGTGCTCTCCAGACTTTAAACAGTCTCTCATTACAAGGGAACCACATTTGTTTCCACTTGACACTGTGCTTTCAAGTCCATGATTGACTTCCCTTTACTCTTAAGAAACACTTCTCTCCTAATTAACATCTGCCACCATGTATCCATTCCCCTCATCTTCATCATCTTTTGTTATCCTCCTCATGCAATCACTTATTCCTTCATGCATTCATTATGCAGTATTTCACCCATTCCTCCCTGTCTCCCTACAACTGCCTTCGCTTCCCTCCCTTCCTGATGAGGCCCTTCTCTGCCTCCTGCAGGCCGGTTCTTTGATGAGAACGAGTCCCCAGTAGATCCGCAACACGGCTCTAAGCTAGCGGACTACAATGGGGATGATGGGAACGTGGGTGAGTATGAGGCCGACAAGCAGGCCGAGCTGGCCTACAATGAGGAAGAGGATGGTGATGGTGGGGAGGAAGACGTTCAAGGTGAGCCAGGTCAGGGGACTGGACTGCCTGTCCAGATGTGTATCCACCATTCCTCCCTTGCTACCTCCCTCCACCCCTGTCCTGCTGCCGCCCCCCTTTGCATTTGTCCCGACAGTTAGAGTAGCTCACAGTACCCTGAGTTTGGTCCTTGAATCCACCATAAACTACAGATATTTAAGAATTATGACAAAAAGGCTTCAGGGTCAAAGCAGGACTGCTATGAATGCAGTTCAGGATGAGAAACTGAAATGTGTCATTCATTTTTTACTGTATAGACACAGTAACAGCAAAATGACCCAGGAACTTGCGGTTCTGTGAGAGTAATTCAGTTGCCATCTAGTATTTTCTCTCCTGCCTGTGCTTCATTTTAGCTATACCACCTGTCTGTGCCCACCACACATCTGACCCACATCTAGACCAGTAGATAAATATAGCTCACTGTGTTTGTGAATGTGTCTGTGTTATCCTTGAAATATTGAAATGCATGTCTGTGTTGTTTTTTCTTTGTTTCCTGCCATGAATTTGATTGTCTAACAAAAACTATTTCATTCATGTTAGACTGTAATTTATCATTTTTATTTGTTCTCTTTTATAAAAGCTGTTCAGTTTGTACACTGTCTCTAAATTAAATAAAAATCTAGGACGTCATTGTTGTTATAATGACCAATAAGGAATAAGGAAGCTGATAATATGCTAGCTAGCATATATTATTTCCTCCCTAAATTAAATGTGTCCCCTCAATAAATGTCTTCTAGATTAAGACATTGTTGCTAAATCAAGAGAACTATGTACAAAAAAACACAATACAAGTCCTACACTCTTCACACAAGATGGATGTGAACACCTAAAAGTCAGCACTTTAACCTGGAGTCATTGTTTCATTTCACATCCAGTGTGCCAAAGTGTATCCGAAACAACAATGAAAAACATAAATCCTGATACCTGACTGCACTGTAGGCGAACATATCTTTGATGGATGTACCCTGTAACAGATTGGCATTAAGCTATTGATGTGATTGGACAAGGAAAGGAAATAGTTTAGATAAATGATATCAAAAAGATCAGTTCCTTATGTAATAATGGAGTATGGTTACAGCTCTTCACTGCATGTATTGTCTATTATTTGATCTCTAATGTCTGTGTTGCTTTTCTTTTTTTCTAGACGATGAAGATCGAGACATGCAGGGAGACCGCGCTGTGGATTATGGGAAAAGACATCAAGCCATTGACATTCTTTGAATGGGAACTCGTACAGCCGTTACTCATTAAAAATATTCAGACCTTCCTCTACAACCAAGGTCTTTCTTGACAAAATAGTTTGAACATCAATATGTTTAAGAATTTATAGGATGCATCCTCAATGCCATGGACTATTTTGAAGAACAGACATTGCAACTAATGAATTAATTATGAAATAACATAACATAATACAATGGAGAATAAAATAAATCATGGCTTTGTCCTGAGCTGCTGTTGATTAGCTAATGGTTCTAAGTTATGACAGTAGAGATGATATCCTGTACACTGACTGTTTTGTTATTTGATAACTGTCTCAGTTCATACCGGAGAGAGGGGGGCTCTTCCCTGTTGACTCACACCTGAACTACAAGGTCAAACTGTGTTTTTGTTTTGTTTTGTGCTACTTTTTCCTTTCCAGGTTGCTGTTGCTTGATACAAACGACTCTTCACCTGAGATGTTTATCAAAGAGACTAATTCGGCAGTCTGCCTTTCTAACATAATTTTGGGACTCGTACATTGAAGAACATTTTTTTCGTTTACAGGAGTGGGAATGCATTACAAATGCCAAGGACTTTGCTTATGGCCTATTAAATCGATCTTTTTTTTGTGACAGACACTAAAAAGTGCTCCTCATTTTGTTTCTTTTTATGATGCCATTGCATGCATTTGAATCTTTTTATTAATCAAACTGAGCAAAATACTGATGCTTAAGCAATACTTAGAGCAATGTTAGTATCCTCTGCAGTGTGCAAAGATTAACCAAGCACATATGGAACTGACCTACTGTACACATGCTTCCATTACTGAGGTCTCTCTTGTACATACTGTAGTTGATCTGTTACCATTTGTACTGAGGAAACTTAATTCCTCGCCTTTAGGGAAATCTGTGAACATGAAATCAGTTCTGTTTGTGCAGCCAGGAAAGTTGATTTCTCATGGAAAGGCACATTGAATGTAATTTAATTTTATTAAAGGTGATGCGTCATGTCATTTCTCAGTTGTGATAGTGCTTTAGAGTCAATGTAGGTGTTGAAATGATAGTTTGCCACCAGTAGTGAATGAACTACTGTAATTATAGGCGCCTGAGTGCCTTTGGTTCATAATTGTAATGTCCTGTGTTTTTCTTTTTACTAATGATAAAACATCTGTCGAGTAGCCTATATTAAGAAACCCATAAATACCCTTTTTTTTAAATATTCAGTAACTGGCTCGTAAAAGAGGAGCCACACACAGACTGTCCTCTACCTTTTATGAAAGCTGTAAGAAGACAGAAGCAAGTCCTCGCTGCAGACTGTAGCTGGTGTTTTTGAGAGGTAAGGGGGTGTGTCTGTGTCCCATACGGGTATCTGCCTCGGAGAGACTGAGCAGAGGCGGGAAATGGCGCCTGGTAACACAACGATGTGTCATTTCGGAGACGGCCCTTGAGTAGATATATAACAGAAAAGAAAGTCGGATCAGATCACGAAAACAACCGCTGCCTCTGTTGTGATGGTTAATCGCTCTTGAGTCGTTATCTCCAGATACTGCGGGCCACCGTAAAGTAAGTCGATAACCAACCTTTTTTTTTTTTTCCTTCCCTCCTCCGTGCGTTTGTCTAATGTTGGCTACCGACAGGATAAATATTTTCCTTCCCTGCCTGTGCACATCTGTTAGCCCGAAGCAGTTTTTCAAGACGGCTAGGTAGGGTTAACGCTAAGCTAGCTGTGCTAAGCTAAGATACGCTAAAACACGGCCTACCGCGGACCTGATTAATCCCCGGTAGACTCGACGCCGTGGCTAATTTAAGTTCCCTTCTACTTTCCCCTAACCAAAACCATTAAATTGACGATTCAATGAAAGGTGAATCACTCAGTGCAGCTGTTCGTACATCGCTCAAACAATGAGCAGCGAGCTAACGTTAGCTAACGTTAGCTACCACCGAGGCTAGCGTGTAAATTGGCATTCCACAACACAACTTCGGTAGTTTCACATTAGCTAGCCGACGCCGTGTTTCTCCCCCCTCCTCCTCCTCGTTTAATAATATCCCTCCAGTATGTGTTGTCGTACACACACAGTCGATGAATGAAATCCCCTCAACTGTGTGTGTGTGTGTTGGGTTTAAAGATAAGACTGGAGCCACAGATCAGTCGGATAACGTTGCTATGTGAGCTAGCTGTTGTGATTAACGACGTCTGACGAGTTTCGCTGTCAAAAATAACGCCAACATTTATTTTTATTTTTTTATATAAACAATGTGCACACTCCGAAGAGACAGCCGAGTCAACCCGCTCAGAAAACTTCACGGCTGTCAGTCAACTAGTGTCCATCACTTAAACTCGTAATTTTAACATTATTTCAACTTACGATGCCGCGCTGGTTGGCTAACGGTAAGTTAGCCTGTTTGTGTTCGGATGCTAACGGTAACGACGGTAAACTACGAGTTGTATAAACAGTGTGGCGTTTCCTATCGGCGCCACTCGTGTAAGACATTGTTTTGTTTAAAAAAAGAGACTTGTATAAAGTAGTGTTGCCCACACTCATAGCCCGCTAACATGTCACACGACCTCTTGTAGTTCGTTTAGGTAGCGTTAGCTTAATCGAGCTAGCTGTTTGAGTAGCAGCAACGCAAACTGGTTAGTCGTGATTATGTTAGTGCAACTTTTACAAACGCTGATTTCAGCTTATCTAAAGCAAACTATCAGCGGTGTCATTTAGCTTACCTAAAAAAACAAATGTGTTTTTATTTATATATATATATATATATATATATATATGCTTCAACCTCTTGTTCAGCCAGTCAACCTTAGCGGAGGAGTAAATGTTGTGGAGTGGACAGGCTCGTCGGAAGGGCCTCACTTGTTTCTCCAGTGTTTCCGTGGCTAGCGTTTTGCTAGCCCGCTCATACAGTCTCAGTAGCATGCATGTTCTTATTTCCCGCTCACTTGCTCGTACCTAGCTGTGTGCATGAGCTATGGTTGGTGGGCGATTGCCTAGAAAAGGTGGATGTTTTTGCAGCTATGGTGGTGTTGACATGCGAACCACGAACGCGTGCAGTAAATATAACAGACACATCGTTTTTATTTATTTTTTATTATTTAGCAGAAACAGGAAAATACCTGATGTGTTGTACAGATGCAGTGCATAAGAATAGACACGGGATGAAAGATCAGGCTAAGAATAGCGTTAAATAATGAGGTAAAATGTAAGTTATCTCTCCTGGAACAGCGCCTCTGTTAAAATATGTGTGTATATTAGACTTTATCACATTACAGGGTCAATCTGATTACTGAAGAATAACAATTTGCAGCATCAGTCAGTTTTTCTCCTGAGGTCTCATGGTAAATGTATTGGCTCAAAATGTCAAATAATAACAGCTTGAACTCTGCATTGGTTACAAAAAGGGGGAAAGTGTTAGACATTATGAGGAGGATATTTACCAAACATATGCACTAGCAAAGACAACCAGGAGACCATCATCAATACTGATTTTCTGATATGTGCAGCACTGAACTGCAGAAGTAATATGAGCCAGAGTTACTTTATACAGACCTAATTGATTTATTGAGGACAGTGTCAGCGCTGTGATGGCTACATCTCAATGGTAGATTGTTTTGGTTGTATGTTAACGGATAGATAACTTCCTTCTCCTACAGCGGCTTTGGTTGGTAGTTACAGGACATACAGATTGTATTTTCTAAAAGGATCTAAAGAGTCTTGAGAAACTGGATTGTCATTTTCATCTGTAGTTATACTGTAAACTCTCCTCTATATGTTGTAGTGTAGCTGCACCCCCAAATGAGGGGGGGAAAAGTGATTTGACTGCATGTTGTAAGCTATAATAGTATAGTATCCTTCTCAAATTAGTACATTGACATTCATGCAAATCCACTGTTGGAGATTTGCAAATTAATTTGATACTCAGAGCAGACATAACTTTCAGGCTTGTCCCACTTTTTCCTGCTTGCCTGTTACTTCAGTGTTACCGTGTTGTGTTTTTGTGTGTGCAGTCCACGATTGAGCAACAGCATGTACACCTCATGGATACACCCCCATGTAAATGTGAAGCAGATGTAGTGAGGGGCATTTACAGTATGTTAGACGTACAGTATTGAGAGGGTGCTATTGTGTGTTTAGGGTTCCTGACAGGTTGTGGATATGTCCAGACACATTTTAAGCCAGCTGCTGTTATGTAAGTGCAAGTGCCTGGCATGCTTGACAGACAATTTGTGTTGCCTGTGAAATAGTTTTTAAGTTTTCCGTCTTTGTACTTGAGTACAACGCTGACCAATTAAATCCCTCAACTCTTGAGAATAAGGAGTTTTTCAGTTACTGTACTTTTATTGTCTTGACTTAAACATTGATCTTGTATGCGTGTAGCCAATAATAAAAGGGACTTCTCGTGTGTGTGTGTGTGTGTGTGGTAAGACCCTGGGTAATGCTTTTTCTTTTTTTTAATACGCTGTACAAATGGAAGTAAAGCCAGCTGTGGCTGCCGTGATGTAAGTGAAATGGGATCTTGAATGCATCCAGATGTTGGCAGAACATGCACCAGTACGCTACAGATAGATGCGCCCCATAGACTTATTCATTTTAAAACAGTTGAGACTGTTAGAGCAACCTGTTTGTCCACCTTAACCACTAGTATTTGCTTTTAACTGGTTTCCTTAACTGTAGTCTTATTGATTTCCTTCTTCTCTCTTTTCTGTCATCTTTCCCCATGTCTGATTTACAGCCTTACATGTGACTGCTAAAACAATGAGGCTGAGAATGCGTAAGGCGTCTCAGCAACCGAACCCCACTCTGGCAAGCCGCCCATCTCGTACCAAGCGGAGGCATTCAGAAGTAGAAGAGGACCCTCCTCCCACGGGTGGGAGGGGCTTGTTCTCGACCATCAAGAAGTTCATCAGAGGAAATGCTGTCAAGGTAATTGCCTCCTATGATCACATCAAACCACCCTGCCCTTTAATTGAGTTCAATGCAAATATGAGTGTGGTGCCCCGTCTGGGAGCATTGATAGATTGTCGCTGAGGTCGGCCTTCTCCACTGTGTGTTTGGTTTAACAGTGTCACCTAAACTTTTTTGGCACTTCTCTGTATTAAAAAAAACTGTATTTAGCACTATGTTCTCCAGGTCTCTGAGTTAAATACAGTGTTTCTTGGTGCAGAGTGTCATGTTTCCCAAGAAATGTCTGGTGGAATGCAGCAGCTTGTCTGAGAACCCGGACCCGGTTCTAATTTTAGCTTCTGGCTCACAGAGTTGGTGTGCAGGGACAGGAGGTAGTAACAAGTGGAAAAGTCAATGCGGCTAAAATAAGCTTTTCCTCTGGAAAGACGTGTGGGCTTTTTGATGTTTTTATGTAATGTAATTTTGTGGCGATCCCTACATTTAATTCCTGATTTAAAACTTGTAGCGTACATCTTCAGTTTTTTCATGCCTTTCTGTATCTATTGTTCATTAACAAGATGGATGGATGGATTAAAGGATGAATTAAATTTCTTAAGGTGCAGCAGGAGAGCCCAGCCAAGAAGACACGCCTCCACTGTGATGTGGACAACAACCTGATCACCTCCACCCCAACAAACACCAACAACCCCCGCAAGACTATCAGCAGGGTCGGAAGGAGAGGCTCCCTCAATGGACGTGAGTGGCACTTAAAGGGGAAAAAAAGACTTATCACAAGTCTTCATTTGTCACCTATTTTTGCGAACTTTCCTAAACCCGTTACTTCACCTCTGCAGAGGCAACCAATCATGACAGGAGTAAGGAGAAGCCCAATGGCAGTCTGGAGGAGACGACGGCCGTTGAGGTGCCCACCAGCCCTCCCAGAACCACCCTTCTCGGGACCATCTTCTCCCCTGTTTTCAACTTCTTCTCACCAGCTAAAAATGGTAATCAGACCCAGAGGAAGTCTGTTTGATTTCAGAGTCACAATATAATGTGCATTAGTGAAACTTTGCAGAACACGCAAACCCCTCACTAGTTTCCTTTTGACATGTGCTTACTAAAAATTCTTTGTTTGTTTTTTCAGCCTCTTCTGGCTCAGACTCTCCTGACCAGGCATTGGAGGCGGAGGAGATAGTCAAGCAGTTGGACATGGAGCAGCCTGTAGAGATGCCCACCAGCACAGTCACATCCACACAAGAAGTGTGTGCCACCACTAACTTCTACTCTAGTGTATCACAGCTGCCACCTCTGCGACCTCCGCACATCCCCGAGGTATCTCCCACAGCCGTGGAGGGAGAACTTGATGCTGATGCTGACCTTCCACCCCTCACAGGTAGATACTGCAGCTAAGAAAACGTGTTTCAGATGCATTGAAAGTTTTACTTCGTGTTGAGATACTAATAATGGGACAATCACTGGATCTGCTTATCTTGCACTTTCATGTTCCTTTTTCTCATCTTGTTCATTTTGTGGTCCAAGCTCCAGGCTCCAGTCCAGATATGGCCTATGTGGACTCTCCTCCTACCGCAGTACCACCAGAGGCATCATATGAGGAAGACTGGGAAGTGTTTGACCCGTGAGTAAAAAGCTTTGTCCTATGGCTAAACCCTGTTGAACAGAATTTACAACCAAACCAAAGTGCCAATATTTGGAAACCAAGGGGCAGTGGGATTGCATAACCAAGCATGTGGGATAAGCAAGACATGGGTTCAAAGGTGGGTTACTTCCTGCAAATGGGGGCATTGTTTGCAGCACAGTGAGATATTTGATTCGAGCAAGTCAAAACTAAAGTTAAGACAACGATATCCAGCCCACCAACCTGACCTACAACCATGCCAACAGCAGACTAGACAGTGAGGCTTTGTACAGGAAATCTAACAAACAAAATAAAATTGAGTAAAATAATAATAAATAAAACAGTTCTGATTGGTTAGTCATTGTACTGAATACAAGTTGGTCCTTATGCAACCGTTCAGCACAGTATGCTGCAAGTTTACCATCACATCCATTTCTGTGAAACTGTGTGATATACCACTTTGTTAGAACTAGGGCTGCACAATTAATTGAAGCGTCAGTGACATCACAATATGGCCAAGTGAAATATCCAAATTGCAGAAGCTTTTTTGCTAAAGGTAAAATGTGTAACAGGACAGTTTTATAATGAAGTACTGTAGTGCTGCAAAGCTGCCCTTGCCTACAAATCCTGTTCTCCAGATGTAAGAAAACATTTTTGTTTGGTACGGACCCCAACAAATGTCATCATCATGATTAATCATGATTTTTATTGGATTTCTTTTCAGTGAAAATGGAAATTCTCACATCTGTCTAAATTATTGCAATATGTTTGTTTTGTTTTTTTTACCATATTGTGCAGCCCAACTTAGAACATTGTAGTTTAAAGTAATGGTTAAATTGACTTGAAGTATGTATGGTGTTTTGATTTGTAGGTATTTCTTCATCAAGCACGTCCCTCCACTGACAGAAGAGCAGCTCACTCGTAAGCCAGCGTTGCCGTTGAAGACACGCAGCACGCCTGAATTTTCCCTGGTCCTAGACCTGGTCAGTTATATTATACAACAACAAATTATTTATACAATCTTTTTAAAAATTTTTTTTTTATTGAAATTGATATTCTCCAATATACATTTTGAAAGATGCCATAAAATTAAAGTTTCTTTGTATTTTCTCTGTGGGGTTCATTAGGATGAAACATTGGTTCACTGCAGTTTAAATGAGCTGGAGGATGCTGCACTTACCTTCCCTGTCCTCTTTCAAGATGTCATTTATCAGGTAATAAGTGCTGTCTTACAGGAATGTGTTTATTTCGTGATGCCACTAGAGGGAGATAAAGTCTAAAAAGCCTTACATGTAGAGAGATGTACTACAAAAATAGTTTTGTCATACATTTGAACAATTGTCCAATTCAAGAGACAAAATGAAATTTAAAGTATATGTTATTGTACTTGATTTACTTCTGGTTTCCTGCAGTAAACATTATCTGTATTTAACATAAGTGTTTACTTACCAGTGGTCTGTTGTCATTTGCAGGTGTATGTGCGCCTGAGGCCGTTCTTTAGAGAGTTTCTGGAACGCATGTCTCAAATCTATGAGGTAAATATAACCTGACTACTCCTGTTAATTAATTATGATTGGAGCCAACTGGAAAATTAACCATATTTTCTCCCTTTCCCAGATCATTCTTTTCACAGCCTCTAAAAAGGTGTATGCGGACAAACTCCTCAACATCTTGGATCCTAAAAAGCAGCTAGTGAGGTACGGTTCTCTTTGTGTTATCATTACCCAACAAACCCAAAAGCTGATGCAAGACTGAATGAAAGGAGGTAGAGCTCAAAAAGCTGTGTGCAGCACCATTGTTGGCATGCACGGCTGTTGAGGTGTCAGTGTTGTGGTTTTTCTGAATTATTGATTGCTCTGACCTTGTCACTGATTGATTCTTTTTCTCTCTCTTCCCTCTTTCCTTTCGTTCCCTACTGTAACTGTAGACACAGGTTGTTTCGTGAGCATTGTGTCTGTGTCCAGGGAAACTACATCAAGGACCTCAACATCTTGGGCAGAGATCTGTCAAAGACCATCATCATCGACAATTCACCACAAGCCTTTGCGTATCAGGTGAACACCTACACAAAATATAACACGAGAGGTTTTGTGTTATGTAGTTATCAACAAGCATCAAGAATTGTCACCAAGTCAGCCAAAGGAGAATATATTTTAGACTTTTAATGTTCAAACTGTAGATTTTGGCAACAAGAGACAGATCTTTTTTTTTTTTTTTTTAAATAACTCTACAAATACAGCTGGTTACAACAAACTTAAAACTCGATGCAGATTCTGTTGGGTAAAATGTGATGATTGTTAAACTAACTTCAGACTGGTGTCTTACTGGAAAAGGTGCGTTTTCTTTCTCACACATCCCATCCTGATTATAGCTGGCTGAGCCGTTTGGCTCTATTTTTTCCTCAAAGAAAAACCTCCGAATCTTTTGTTGTATTACCACGTGCTGCTGATTAATATCTGTAAAGCAATCGTAGGGTGTGGTTGATAGATCATTGTAACCTGGCAGATTCTGAGACGATCAATTTATTTACTAGACTTAACACCTCGCTTATTGGATATGTGGCATTTGCTCCACGATATTCCTCGGGCTTGTTTTACCTGAAGTTTCATACTATATTTCGTCAAGTTGATGATTTATTCCGACATTAGTGGAGGTGTTCTTCATTAGAGAAAACTAAACTATTACATGCTGTGGGAAACACTGTTATAGTAATAACTTTAGGTTTTGATTTCAGTTCTCTTTTTACATAGGAGAGGCACTTTCTAGTTCAGGTTAGGTTATACAAAAACTTAACTTGTGTAATCCCAATTAACATGTTTTTTTGTCCCAACAGTTGTCCAATGGGATTCCCATAGAGAGCTGGTTCATGGATAAGAATGACAATGAGCTGCTGAAGCTGGTGCCCTTCCTGGAGAAGTTGGTTGAGATGGTAAGATGTCCTTTTGTTCAATAGCTATTATAGGACCTATTACAACCTGTCAGTGAATGTGATCTAATTGTTCTTTTAATCTCCTCCTCTCATTGTTCTCCTGCCTGCTGAACTTAGAACGAGGATGTGCGGCCGCACGTTCGGGAGAGGTTCCGACTTCACGACCTGTTGCCCCCCGATTGAACTCAACCACCGTCTCAGAATGGGACAACATGAAAAGACTGAAAACAACATGCGTGTAAAAAGCCCCTCTTTGGATTACAAACTACAACATTGCCATAACTGTTAAAATTTTAGCCTTTTCTTTTTTTTTTTCTTCTTTTGGTTAAATTTTTGTTTTTAAATCCACCGTTGCTTTTTAAAAAAAAAAAAAAAACTTCAAAAGAAACATTTTTAAATATCTGGGTGAAATTTTCTAAATATTAATGTATAGATGAAATTACACACACACTATGAACACGCCCAGGTAGACTCCTCTTTTTGACTGTGGAGCTGGATATTGTCTCCATTCTTAATCCTGAAGTCTTGGTGCTGGTTTAGTGGATGTGAAAACGCCACCCGGTAAAGAGGAACTCCACCCTGACAGAGTCCCTGAACCCAAACCAACCCCTGGTGCTCACGCTGTTGACACTGACGAATAACGACACTCTGTGGCTACAGACCATTTTCAGCAGGAATGACTGGCCTGTAAATCAATCTGTGCATGTGTGTATGTTTACTCCTAGCCACACACACACACACACACACACTCACTTATTTGGTGTTTGGCAAACCTACAATGTGTAGCCTTTAAAATCATATGCATTCCTCCGTAGCTAAGTCAAGTTTCTATTGTTGGTTGCAGTTTATTTCTGGTAAAACTGGTGTTTCATTGTTTTAAAAAAAAAAAAAAAAAGTAAAAAAAGATAGCGTTTCAAAATGTTTTACTTCTGTTTGTAAGATATGATATTTTAAAAGGGGTCATGTAAGTTTTATTGTAAGCCTTTTTCCTTTGGGTGCATATTAATGCTGACAGTCCACTGCATAGTTGAATGAAATGGAATTAATCCAGGACAATTAAGGATAGTTTGTTCTTGTTCTAACAAATAGAGGTTTAAATCAATATGTTGGCTTCACTGTGGATACAACAAGGCTCTTTAATTAAATGTTAGGATTAAGAATCTTCTTACCTGTAAATCTGACATATTGTAAAGGTTTGAGGGCATTCATTTTCAAAGTGAGACGTGTCAACGTTAACCTTTCTTTAATAATGGTATTGATTTGTCATTTGTCTATAACCAGTATTGTCTTTTACTCCTAATCAAGTATTCTGGCTAAATCCGAGCTCTGTTTCTTTTAGTTGTAATGTGTAATTTGATGGCTATGTCAGTAGCATCATGACTAATGTAGCACATCCCTGCCAGTGTGTCATGAAGTCTACTCATGGTAGAAACCTATGGCCAGACCCTGTACCAGCCATATCTGGCACCAGCAACATACTGTTTTAACAGTCAGCCTTACTGACTGCTCCTCTGTCTGTTTTCATACTTTTTAATTTGTACTTTTAAGCTTTAGATTTTTTTGTTTTTATGTTTAGCGCAGTTTGAAGCTTTGTGTTTAAGAATGGTAACTATATGAATGTGTATCTGCCTGACTTCAGCCTGGACACTCAAGCCAAACTGACATTTTACTCCTCTGTTTCAAAAATTTATTTAACAGTGAGACAAAACAGTAGGCAGAGATGTAGATGTTGCACTGGCATCCTTACGAGCCTGAACCTGAGACATAAAGCTCAAGTCAGCCTGTCAGTCGTACAAGCCTGTCTTCTGTCATAGCCCCCCACCCCCAAGAGTTAACTTGAATCTCTGTGAAAATTTGGCATGCATTGTTGAAGTTCTTGCTCAGTTTTAAATCAAAGTGCATTTTATGTCAAAGCAAATGTGAGTGTTTGGATTTGTCTAGGTTGCCTGTACAGTGCCATACGATTCCTCTCCTCACAAGCCCCCACCACCAGCCCTCTGTCCCCTGTGGTATTTCCTGTGCTTCCCCCCGCGCTTAGATGGAAAGAGACAATCAGACCTCAAAGCTCTGCAGATACTGAAACCTAGAGACACCCACCCCTCCCCCCTTTTTGTTTTTCAGTGTGCCGTATGTGTTGTGTACTGTGATTCCATTGAGTTGTACTCCTACCATGAGTACATTTGCCAGGTGAATCCTGCTGTGCTCTGCCCAAACAATCCCTGCTGCTCACTCAACGCAGGTTCTGTTGAAAGATGGTTCCCATCTGCTCAGCGCCCGCCTGCCTTTGCCTTTTCTTTTTTGTTTTTCCACCACAAGTTAGTAGCTCTCCAGAAATTAGAATTAGTTTGTATTCAAGTAACAGTTACAGGGCACAATGGTGTTTACTCAAACGTAATGTTGTGAGTGCACATGTCCAGACTATGAATGTAAATTGTACATGGGGTGAAGTCTCATGTGTCTTTCCGAATTCCTTGTTGCGTTCTCTCCTCATCAACTCGAAAAATTCAATGAGGAGGGATGGCACCTCCATATCTGCCATTCACATGTTGAAGAGGAGGCAAGAACAGTGTGCATGGAAGAGGAAACATGTCTTGAGGTCCCACCATGGTAGTCCCCTCCCTTCCCCCCTCCCCCATGACCTCTCGCCATCCTGACTGCCAGCTTTTAGTATGCAAGCCTCACCTTGAGAGTGCGATGTAGCCCAGGTGTGCTCGTCTCCTCAGTGTGATCATGTATAATTATCAGTCGTGGCTTGTTTCTGAAGGATAGGTGGGAGGCATTTGATACTTTTCATCCAGCTCATTTTTATGTGCATTACCAGTTTATTGTACAATACAGTGTTGTACAATACATGCAGCTTCATGTTTAAAAAATCCTTAAAGTAAGGAATCTTTTTGTATTTTTGATTTCAAAAGGCATGTCATATCTACTTTTTAAATGTATTAATGAAGATTTTAACTTGACTTCAGATGGAGTGTTTTTTTTTGTTTTGTTTTTTTTCTTACAAATATCTGTATGTTTAGTTTAGCGCAATGTTACTGAACTGTTAAACTTAGCATGTAGAGAATACAGCTTGCTTTGTGGGAAGGTCCTGAATTAAATTTTAATCATGGCACTTTTTCTGCATAAAAGAGCAATTGTGTTAATGATTTTATTTTTTTCAATATCCGTTAAGCCATTTTACTTGCAAGAATTGCTATTTGTGCTGAAGATGTATTTAAAAATGTTTTAAGACATCTTTGTTAGCCTTCAGGCTATATGCTATTGTAAAGTGTATATACAGTTACATTGAATTTCTGAAACAAAGTTTTAAAGTTAAAAACCTCTTGCATGCCCTTTGTTTTTATTTCTCTCGACTGCCTTAGATGATGCTGCAGCTGTGGGACAGTTTGTGGGAGAAGAGGGGAATGGTATATGATCTTACAGTTACATTACGCTTAAGAAAGTAGACACAGACTCAGTGGTGTACTGTAGGTTAACCTACTTATTTTTCATGTACTTCTAAATCCCCTCTAATACCCACCAGTCAGTGTTTGTGAGCTGTGTTTTTCCCTAGGATGGTGAAGACATGACAGAGTTGTCCAATTTGGATGAGTGGATGGAGGAAGGAAAAGGGATACTTAACTCAAAATGCATAATTATTATTTGTAGTTGTCCTGTGGTAAATTTTAAATTCATAATGAACCCTACTCCTCGAAGTCAAGCAGCACAAGTTAAGTAACTATGTGCCCATACTACAGGCCCATTTTTGGTTGCGCTAAATATGCAGGAGTAGTGTTACATGTCAGTGTTTATAACACAGGGCCTTTATTCTTCGCTGCATCCCCCTTAAAAACATTTGGGGCCATAACTAGGCACCACTGAACAGACCCTAACCCTAACCCTGCATTTACTGTAGTAGCATTTAAAGTAGACCAACATAATGCAGAACATATGATTTCTTTTAGTTTGGACTGTTTGGTATAAATTTCATCACGGTTGTTGCTTTGTAGTTTATAATTTGCCTTATAACCCTAGTGGATATAGTAGCCTTTTTATTTCGATCCCTTCTCCTCCAGATCCTTGTAGATACTTAACCCCTATAACCTTCCTCCTTTTTTCTATTAATGATTTACATATCTTTAAAAATTGTTTTAAATGCTGAATAATTAAAACGCACCTGTCTTGCCATCATCATCAGTGTTTGGTGAATAAAGCAGCGTGTACTTGAGGAGAGATGTTTTAATCTTGATAGACTACACTAAAGCTCACAACTCACTGTCTGTGTTCTTAGTGTAAGAAATTGTACCATATTTTTTAAGAAAGAAAAATCCCCAAATTTGCCATTACAGCCCTGAATTTGTTCCATTTTTAATGTATGGTGTAAATGTTATTAGATAAATCTTGAATGGTGTTTTCTCTGGTACAACACCTTAAGCAAAGCAGGAAAGACCAATTAAACCACCTCAGTATGTAGAAAAAAACAACTTAAATAATAAAAAAATGATGCCTGCTGTTACAAATAATTCCTTAATTTGGCCAAATTCAAGGGTATATTGAGTAATTTATGCTATTTTAATGCCGGGGCTATTGCTTCTAAAGATCAAACATCAGGCTGTATATCGGAGTTATAAGTCGCAGCAGATGTCATGTAAATCCTCCAGCAGTCAGTCTGGTGTCTCCTGGCTCCTCTGTCGGGACTCGGGTTTCAGACGCAGGAGTTAATCAACACACTTCGTTAATAATTCAGCACCGACGGTCGGGCTTGTTGCCGAAATCCCTTCTGCGTTTCACAGCCCTCATTTCGCACCTACTTTTTCCCCTTTAGCGCTGTCCTTAATTACGCAGCTTTCAGGGGCAGGTGTAGAGTTGCAGGTAGACCGGGAGGTGAGGATCTGTGAGCAGAGCTGCATGTAAGAGCCGATCATCATCATCATCATCTGGACCTGCTGGACGAAGATGAATTTTGACGGATGAGCGACAGCTTGTTGAATGCTTTGTTACTGCTAAAGACTGACTGTACAGTTGACCAGTATGAAGCCTGTTCTCAGTCCGGTTCTTCTGCCTCAGCTTAATATTTCTACTACATCAACAGGATAAAACAAAGTGGATTTATTTGATCATTATTAACTGGACTGGTTGCCTGCTTGCATTTGATTGAGGGAAATTACAATGTGGTCGACATCAGCTGCTTGTATGGTCTGCATCCTTTTTGGTGAGTATAAAGTAAGATTTCTGGAAGCTTTAATTTGATTTGATTTAATTAAAAACCACAGAGCCTGTATTGTCTATAAAAACAATGTAGTGATACAAAACTTTAGTTAGTTTTCTGACTAATCCTGTGAACAAAATTAGAAAAAAAAAGTCATATCTAAATAAGTGATTTCAAAACTCAGTGGGAATTATAGAAACCTTGATATGTTGTTTGTTCTGTGACTTCAATTTTCACAATAGCAAAGGGTAGATTTGTTCACAATTGTCACTGTGGGAGAACAGTAATTAATACTTCCTGTTTTATTTGATTTCCTTTGTCTACAGGGATCATATGCAATGTCAGGAAAGTGTACTCGCAACCCAAATTAATACAAAGGAAGACTGACCAGACTCATGACCAAAACGCCAAGTTAGAAGAAGACATCCAGAAAGTTATCAATCAAATCCACTCTTTGTCCAGTGGGAATAAAAATGCACGCAGCTTCAGCATCTCATCCACAGGAGAGGGGTTTGACTTGAATGCATATTACGGTGCTCTGAGCAACGTGTATACTGTCTTTCAACCACTGCTCCGAGACAAATTCATAGATGACCTTCCCAAAATTATTGTCTGTATTCTGTCTGGGAGGCAGGACTGTGGACTGGAAGCAGAACTAACAAAAACCGTGTCTATGGAGTTAGGAAAGCCATTCCTGCTGTTTATGTCGTCTCTGAGGTCCCAGACGTGCACTCCGCTGAGCAGCGATGGAGAGTCAGACAGCTTCCTGAGGGCCTACCTCAGGATGGGGGAATCATCAGGTTTTCAGCAGACATTTATGAATATAGTATCAAGTCTCCCTCTTTCTGGGAATTTGATGAGTGCTGTGATTGGCCTTGTGGATGCAGCTGTGAAATATGTCTCAGAGTTCTTGGCAACGTTACTCCAAGTACCAATGGACTTTATAAAAATAGCTTTACAATTTGGAATTAGTGTACCATCTTTAGATGGCAAGGAGACCTGCGAGCAAGGTAAAATATTAATTTTCATCATTATAAACACTTAATAGTGCTACGTAATTATCTAAACAGTTCTGTATAATAAACAGTGTATTAAAAAATATTTATGCTGATTGAATTGTTTTCCCACTTGCAGGAGATATCAAGCAGCTCATTATGTGGTAAGTCATTTTGAAATTCACATAAACCCTTTTTGCGTATTAAAGCTACCCCAGGCAGTTTTTCACCACTGGTAGCACTGTGGAGCAATATTGTGTGGTGGGTCTCTGTTTTGTTTTTTGTGTTTGCACACAAGCTTGTGAATGATTTAATACATGTTCCTGCAACTGGTTTCCATAGACAATGACTCACAGTAGGGCTGACTCTGAAATGTCGATGACTTGAGATATCAGTCAAGGCTACGAGGCGATTGTATTTTGTCAGCCGAATCTCTGCTCATTTATTTTCTAGCTGTGTCATTGTACACAGAGCGACAGCGTGGCATGCTGTGAACTTTACAAGCCCAAAAATCACTTTTGAACTAGATGATGGTACAACCCCCTCTATGGCATCTACTGTGATTGACAGCAGTGGCAGCAGCAGCCCAACGGGAGAGACGCTCCGATTTTTATAATTGAAATATGAGCAGGACACACACTGTACTGTAACTTTGTCTGTGTGGAAATCTGAGATTTTTGTATCACAGATGATGAAGAACGGCATTAAAACATGAGACCCAATGTCTCCAACGCAGGTACTGTTGTTTAGTGTGGCACTGAACTGAAAAAAAGCATAGTTGAATCTCCTTTGTATTGAACAGCCAAATACAATTTGACTGACAAAATCTTAGCTCTCACTAAGTCTGTATGCATTTAAGTAGATATTATCTAGTTATTGAAATAATCTGTAATAATGATTAAATTCCTGTTTTGTTAAGGGGAATAAACCACAATGTGAGCTGGTCCTTCGGTACCTCCATCATTGACATCTTCCTGGACATCTTCCTGGCTCCAGTACAGCCTCCTTGCACATATCCAGGGCCAGAGTGCCAGAATCCTCCCACAGCCTCCTTCCAACGCAGTATCTCAGAGGACACTGATAACAACGACATCCTGCTAAAGTGTGATCGCCACAATCTGGCAAGGCTCAATGACACACTTTGTGCTGACATCATGACGGGTTCAGGAGCGGGATACTCTACATCTGTGCTCACCTTTTGCCAGGCGCTAAGCTCCCTCAGCCCTAACCAGATAGAGCAGGTGTGGAGCAACATGTGTTATATTATTCAAGCACTGCTGTCTCCACTCAGCAGATCATCTGACTGCAGTGTTGGTAACATACAGCCTTCTCAAGCCATCACGCCATCTTCACAGTCTCTTCCCCTCCCTCGTTCTGCACCTCGTCGAATAGCCAGAGAAGCATCCAACCTCAAACAGCTCGCCTGTAACTACAATGACTGGTTAGGAAACAAGGCGGTGGACGCTGTCCTTGTGTCGCTGTGCAGTGATAACGAACGTGACAAGTTTGTGAAGCAGGTGTGTAACAATTCTTTGTTGATGAGGAAGCTGCTCTCAGATCAGATGAACAGCTGGCTGTATGGATACTGTGCCAACTCCTCTGCAGACCATGTGTACATGGTGAGTCAGTTCTGCAGTTACGACCAGTGGATCGATCACCCCTCAGTCCTGGTGGACCCCACCTTACTTGAGTTCTGCATGACTCTGGACAGTCCCCGACTGATCAAACTGATCTGTGAGCACACCGGATTCTTCATGCTTTTATTCACCAACCCTGAAAATGGACAGTTCATGCCTAACTGCACAAACTTTCTGCCTCTACCGCTATTCCCTGACATGGATCAAGTAATGCTTGATTCTTGTCATTACTCAAAGTGGCATGATGTGACACAAATTACCATTGACATTTTGTCACAGTGCATCCGGCTCGACCACAACGGGTTTACTCAAGAGGTTTGCTCCAATAAAACTTTTCTAAATAGCCTGCTGGTTAACAAGGAAAATGCCTGGCTTGAGAATCACTGCAGCACCTCTCTTAGCCTCCTAACCCCCAAGCCAACCCAGGCCTTCAACATCGCAAGCTGGTGTGACTACCACACCTGGGGAGACCGGCAGGTGGACGATACAGTGGTCGGCCTCTGTTGGCAGTATGATCAGCTTTCTTTTCAGAAGAATGTCTGTTGCAAAGCTTCTGTGTTTGAAAAGCTGTTAGAAGACCCTCAGAATAAATGGCTGACATCAGTCTGCACAGACATCGACGACATAGCGGTGTTACGACAGGTGGGTATTTTAACTCAATGACATGGATCTGTATAGTGTGATTTACTTGAATGCACAAAAAAGAACGACAAACGTTATGTCAAGTCAGATTCAGTAGAAATAAGTGAATGTTTTGGTCAAAGGACCATCATCAGCAGAACCTACAGACCAATGTAATGTCAGACTAACATCAATGACCAATCAGGAGAAAAGGCAAAAGGTGTTTGACCTGAACCCATCAGCCACCTAGGTGTGGTCACAGGACCTACACGTAAACCAGAATGAATACATAGACAATGCATGTCCTGCATGTGTCTGCATACTTTCATGCAGATGCACTCATACACACAGCAAAAAACGGAAGGCAGCAGTATTACAGTGATGGACAACAGTGAACCGATACTGAAAACAAGTTAAGATTCGTCATTTTACAGAATTTGTACTCTGATGTGGTATTCACAATTATTTTGTACTTCAGGTGTGCAAGTACTCTGAGTGGACCCGTCCAATCATCGTGGATATGACTGAGCTAGCGCTCTGCGCTGAGATCGACCCACTTAACTTCACCTCCAAAGTCTGCGTCAATGATACGGTTCTCCAAAACCTGTTGACCAATCAGGACAACACCTGGTTAATACAGCACTGTGCTAACTATTCAAAGCCAGGCATATCTCCTGGTGGAGATAAGGGACAAGGAGAAGGCCCGACTGGATTCAACCCTGTAGAGCAGTGCCAGTACTCCAGCTGGAGCATATCTCTTCCAGACGCAGTACTCCTGACTCTCTGCTGGGAGCATGACCAGACTAATTTTGTCTCCTCTATCTGTCCTAACGCTGGTCTTCTCTTTTTGCTGTCTCGGGAGCCGTCTAGTGTGTGGGTTGGCAGCATGTGTAACACCTACACCAACTACACCACCACTACCACCACCACCAACAACAACAACAACAGCACCACCACCACTGCAGAGCCTAACTTTTGCCTGGTCAGAAACCTGGTGAGGCAGTTTAACTGGACCTGCTCAGCTGACTTCACCTCAGCCTGCCAGCCTGGGGCCAGTCAGAATATAGCCCTGCAGATGATGGTGCGCTGCTGGGTTGAAAGTCTGAGGTCCAGGGTGGATTATCTGCTGACTCCACCTGTGGCCACAGTGTTAGAGCAAGCAGTCAGTACCACTGTGGTGTTCCTGTTGGCCCTGGAGGAGTTCAAAAACACATCGCTGCATGTCATCGAAAACATAAGACTGAGTGTGTTAGCGTCTGTAGGTCGCTATCTCGAGAGGGAAAACAACGTTGACAAAAGGAGGGTCTTGCTTCAGTGCTTTGGGGTAGGTAGTTTGATTTTGCAGTAATTGTTTGAAAAGAAAAGTAACTTCTTTTCAGGGGTGGAGGAAGTATTCAGATCCTTCAATCTAACTAACCATAAGAATTAAAAGTCCAGGTTGAAAATGTCCTTTAAGTGGAAACATTATTAGCAAAATGTGCTTAAACGACCCAAAGTAAAAGTACTTTTAATTAAGCAAAATGGCCCCTGTTAGTGTTATACTATTATTATATATTATTTGAATATTATTACTGATGCATTAAAGTATAAGCAACATTTGACTGTTGTAGTTGGTCAAGAATGAGCAGATTTGAAACTATTTTATAATACGTTTGGGTAGTTTAATCTTAACCAATGCATCATTTATTGGTAGTTATTTTATACATTTTATATACAGTGCATACAAAATGTATAAAATAACTACCATTAAATAATGTAGAAATGATGTAATAGTAAGTACTACTGTAAATTGTAGAGCAGAAATATAAAGTAGCAGGGAATAGAAATATAATATATATATATATATATATATATATATATATATATATATATATATGTATAATATAGTAGTAGTAGTATAGTACTATTGAGTAAATGTACTATGATACATTCCACCACCGCTTGGTATATTATTTTTTACTATTTATACCAGTAGTATGCAGGTCAAGGAGAATGAATGAAGTATATTTGAACACAACTCGTGGGAAATGTATTCTATATGTTAATCAGAGCATAGTGTGAATAGATTCTCCCTCATCTTTTATTCATATAGTCTGAATCAGTTTATGTTTGGAACAATTCATTGACTTTAGAGTTTATCTAATTATTCATCCATATCACTTACCATTAGCGTCATTGTATAGCTCTTTACCTCTAGTGTACAGCCAACCTACAGCTGGTGTACTGTTGCACTCCTGTCATTGATATCAGCATAATGAAGGTCTTCCTCTGGTTCTAATCTCTACTGGCTCACACTTGATTTGACAATTACAATTATGTGTCAAAACAAACTCCCAGATTATAAAGTGCCATTAATCTCTCTGCTAATCGTGTTACAACCTGTGTGTGTTTACCTTTTGTAGAGAGTCTTAACCAGCTTGATGCAGACAGCAAGAGACGTGACCAGTGATGAATTCTCTTTCATTAAGGTGATTTGTACCACAACTATAATGTTAATGTATGTTTTTAGCCATGCTAGCGACATGGCTCCAGTCTGTTAGTTAGCTGACCACTTTGGTCCAGACTGAAATATCTCCACAACTATTGGATGCAATTTGGGACACACATGTACCCTCACATCCCTGTCAGGAGACCTGTAACAACTTCTGTGATCCCCTTCCGAGACTATTATGTTCAACATTTTTATTTGTCCAATGCTTAATGACATGAACAATAATCAGCCTCAGTTGCTAAGTAGAAAATGTTTTGTCTTTTTTGTCAATGTTTCTCATATTTATTTGAACTAATTTCCATGTATGTCTTTATGTATCAAGGCGTACTTCAGTATACAGCTGAGCAGCCTGAGGTCAGTGCTCACTGCAGCTCACATCACCACCGTCAGACTGATCCTTCAGTACTATAACACAAACAAGGATACGCTGCAGGTGAATAAGTACACCATTACACATCCACCTGAAAAGCAGGAATCTTTTCCTGTTTCTTCCTGAAATTCTTGGTTCTCTGTCTCACCACTATAGCATCTCATTGGTCTCAGTTGATAACACAGTACACAGTATTATTGTATTGTTGCTGACAGAGAATGGGTATTTCCTTTTGTTTGCCAGTTGTCCAATAAGTACCTGTCCACCATGGTGTCAGTACTGTTCCAGACCCACTTGGCAGAAGATGGTAGTCTCTTCCCTGAGCTGGCTCCCCTGCTGGCTGCAGCCACCCCGGCTGACATCCAAGCTTTGCCCTCTCTGCAGAACAACGTCAATGTGTAAGTGATGCTGTCAGCCAGTCATTTCTAAGCACCCAATACTTACAGTAATGAGCCCAATACTCATCATTATAAGGCACATTTATTAATGATTATTGTGTCTAACACCAGTAATATTTCTCTGGTAAGCTTGCGTGAGAATGGTGAGGACTGTTTCTTTGGTTTCGTAAAGTTTAGCAGGGTAATCAAACTAACTAAATTAGTTTGAATTAGTTGTTTTTCTGTCATTGGAGTTTTCATTTCCAAGACTGCCTCCCTTCTCGGTTGGGCCAAAAATCCCCAACTGTATCATTTGTTAGACTGAATACTTCATTAACCCAAACTGTGTAATTAGGAATACATGTTTAGAGGTGCTGTTAAACATCAAGCATGGCAGTCACAAGTGTAAACCTCTAGACTATACCTGTTCCTAAAAGCTGGTTAAAAGTGTTCCATGTTGGCAAGGTGCATTTGTTCATGGAAACATGCCTGTGTGTTTTTAAATGGAGTCTTATGGCAGGATAATGTACAATGCCGTTCTCCTTTCAAAGTTGAGACAAGGAATATAACAGTGAATTTAGTCTATTATAAGTCTATATAAATAGGGCATCTATGGGATGAGACTGAATGAAAATTTGAACGTGCTGAATGTTCTGCAAGACGCCTGTGAAAGGTTTAGACTCAACTAACAATAAAAGAGATCCTACTTAGCAATATTTGTGTGTGTCAAACAAAGTAATTACTGACTTTTTCAATTCTGCACAATCATGCAACCTCACTTTCCTTCACACATAAGGCTTCCATGTGAAGACAGCCCTGGTGTCAGGCTTCTGCAAGACGTAAGGTGTCATTGTGCCCAGAGGTGCCAGGAACATGCATTATACATAGAAAGTAAAGGAAACTAGTTCACTGACTAGATTTCAATCTAGAAAAGGCCTATAATGTGTGCGCTGGTAGGCATGTGCTGTTGATTTGACAAGTCATTAAATGTAGAACAGAGCAGCAAGAAAATCTGTATTTCAGCTGGACTCGGGTATCTAACTACCGCTGTCTGTAAAGCAGTGCAGATACATCCCCCATGCCAGTTACGTTTTTGTCTTTGCCCAGCAAGAGATGGCACAATAACATTTATGATTAGAACAAATTCACTCATGAGTGCAAAACAATATTCTTGAAATGCTACAAAAAGCACCTATGAACCTTTTGTTTAATTTTTTAAAGTATTAATTAATTAATCTATTGAGCAGATCTATTGAGGGGTATCCGTCTTCTTATGTACGCTCAACAACAAAGCAAATAATAAGTGCAGTTCCCAGGGCTCCCTGGTAGCTCATCTGGTAGAGCTGGCCTTGGGGTCTGACATAGGCCCTCTCACTCCCCCTTTCCTCTCACTCTACAGCTGTCACTATCCATTGATAAAAGAGAAAAATAATAATACTACGTGCATTTCCTAAATTTCAAACAGTTCCCTTATTATTTATACCTGGCTTATGGTAGTAAATGTTAAGTTTTCCCACAACGTCCCACTATCTTAAATGCAATATTTCAAAGCAGGCCACATCCAAAATCTTGAAAATATTTAGTAAATCTGTAACAAAGCAACAGTTCCAGTATATCAGTTTAAACTAAACTTTTTTTCTTTCTTTAGGAGGGAGACGATTAACAGAAACTTGTGGCGCATGACTCTGGACCAGCGGCGGGCATTCGGCTTTTGGTTCAGTAAAGTTATGCCCCCCTCCAACATCACCAGAGGTCATCAGTCACTCATCAGGGACACTGGAAACCTGATCGCCTACCTGCCCTTCCACAACTTCCAACACCTCTCACCTGCTCAGGTAACAGCCCTCTGAGCTCTGACACCTGGTTGGGAAACCTGAGAAGCCAGCACTCTGTCAGTTCGATTAGCCCCAGGGCACAGCAGAGCAGCTTGTCACATACTGGTCAAAAGAAAGCTCAGACAGCCTCTTCTTTCTCTGTCACCACCAATGTGTGTCATATGCTTGTAGCTAATGTTCAATAAGTAAAGATAGGAACACATGAATTAATAATGACCTAAAGATAAAGGGGTTACTGACCTTTCAGCACTCAACCATGAATATAAAAGGTTTTAAAAGTGAAATATGTAAGAATTTTAGTTTAAAAGATTAAAAAATTAACTAAAATAATCAACAGAATGTAAAGAAAAATCAGCTTTTACGTTCTGTCAAAAACTTCCATGTTTTGTGTTGCAGAGATATTTAATAAAGTTAGCATGCCTTCAGGCCCTTCTTGTCTCGTTATACCACTTTTCACCTCAAGAGGCGATAGTGAGTCTCTATAGCATCCAGTCTGTTCTCAATCCAACAACACCGACAAGGTTTCCTTGCCGAGTTTATCTCCTGGCACCCCGATGCTGGCCCGACTGTAACCCACACGCAGGATTCCAGAGGTTGGCTCTGACTGATGCCCCGGCCTCCATCTTGGTCCTAACCCCCGTCTGAACCCACCTTTGTATTAATCTTTGTCATCCCCGGAGTCACAGACCTTTTTCGGAGACACTGTAAATCCCATTGGTACTGTAACCTCTGTGGTCAAACTGCCCTGCGTCGGTATCTGGGGCTATGTTTCGGTGCCAGTCCAGCTGTGTTCACTGGGAGGCTGGTGAGCCAGGTTCCATTGCCAGCCTGCTTGGCTGTGCTTATGGTGCCCATTTCCAGCGCTGCTTCCTGCCAACATTCCTCGCTAGGTCCCCCCCTACCCAGGGCCTGAAAACCTCCTCCAAGCAGTCCAAAGCTCTTGTGCTAGAGGTGTAAACACCAACACTCCCCCAATGCTCCCAGCTTCTTCTCGAGACAGAGTCTAACAAAGAAGCATTTTCCCTTAAGTGTTCTGTAGACAGCTGAATATTTTTTTCTCCCATACTTTGCTATCCCAGGTGAACATCAGTAACCTTGCTGTTGCCATTTTTAATTAATAAACATTCTCAAAAATTATTTATTGTCCCATATTCAGACAGAAATGCTATTATTGCTGTATTTCTGTCATCATGTTTATCCACAGCTGTTCGACGGCCTGGATGTGTTGCAGACAAACACCCTCACTTCTCTAAAGCAGGAATTCATAGCTCAAAGCATCATCGGCACCTATAGAAACCTGACAGCTCAGGATTTTACCAGGTTGGGAAAAACTGTCCCTCCATCTTTTCTGTCTATGTTAACTGTCTGTTAGACATCAGTAGGTGTAAACTTAAAACCTGCCGAAACATGCTTGATTTTTCTTTTTTTTTTTTTTTTTTTATAATTTGACTCTTGTTAGTAAATAAATAGTAATAAGTTGTCATATGAACAGATTGTTGGTTACTTCCATAATTAGATATCAATGAACTTTTTTTTGTTTACAATGATTTATTTTTTTGGAAGGAAATCTTTCATCTGCTTCCAGGTGTTAATTGTTGTGTCTTGCTAAAACTGTGTTTGTAATTTTAGGCTGGGTAATCTCTCATGCCTGGCAGACCCAGCAGACCTCCTTAGGTACAAAGACACTGCGGTCTTCAGTGTCATCCGGGACATTGTTATGAACTGCACACATGAGGGATTCAGTCTTCCCAGCAGTCTGGTAGGAACAGAGACGTTAACGTGTTTTCATTATTTTCACGTGTGTGCTTTCTTATTTAACAATTACTTTGAAGGAGTATTTATAATATATACGCCGTCTCTGTGCTTGTTCTGAATCTTGTGTCCAGATTTCCAGTTTGTTACTAAACAGCACAGAATTAAAGGTCCCGTCCTCGCTCAGTCCTGATCGACTGGCAGAGCTCGCCCTCCTCCTGCCTTCGCTGGGTGCACCTTTCCTGCAGAGTCTCACACCATCGCAGCTGCTCGCTGTCCTTCCTGCCCTCAATTCTGTTTCATTCAGCCCTGCACAGGTAGAGGAGCGTACTTAACCTTCAATGTACAGTGGAAGATGTAGGAATCATCATCTATAACTCAATTTCTTTTGCCATTTAACTTACCTGTTTTTTGGGGGGTTTTTTTTACTAGTGAACTTATTCTTCTGTGTAAAATAAGTAAATAAGGAGGGGGAGGTTAGTGAGTCCCTTTCATAGCACAAGCCCCTATTTATTGTACATGCTTGGGTTTCCTGGCAGCTGCCTGAGGAACAGCTGACAGGCAGTCGGTCTTAAGTTGAGAAGGCTCATGAGGGAAAGACCTGATCATTACTCTCCCTCTGCTATCATCTGAACAGGGGCCTTTTACTTTTACCTCAGCCTCACAGCTGTTGTCTGGCTTTTATATGTCATTGGAAGTTTTGAGACTTAAAGCCTACAGATAGTTTGGGAGGTCCATCATGACAAAAATGTGTGGATGAGAGTTGTTCAAGCCCACATAACTTTATTTTATATTCTAGTAATAGTGTAGACAGCAAGTAGATACAGAATATATACCAGTCAGTTACCAGTTAAAATTACTACTTTATAAGGTAATTTATTTTTATTGATTTGCTGTCATTCTGTATGTTTTTCAGGCTTCCGTAATTGTAGAAAAGATGTCCTCAAGTAACACTGTGAGTTATTTTGTAAACACATTATAACATGAATTTAGAATAAGAGGTTTTCTGCATTTTTGCACCCCTGACCCTCACACACCTTCCTCCCCTCTGTCCAGCTGACCGGTCCAAGCCAGCTGCAAGAGCTCGGCTCGCTCATTGTGGGAATGAAGACGGAGACCTTATTGACCCTCACCTCTGACAGGCTGCTGTCCTCCCTGCCTGCCATGGCCCAACACACACCTGGCCTCAGCCCACCACAAGCTAATGCTGTCTCCACAAAACTATGGGTACCACACACACACACACACACACACACACACACACACACACACACATTCATTCATATTGAGCTGAAGAATGTACATTTTCAGGCATTATCAATGTAGGATCTATTCAGTTTTGCTTTGTAAGAGTCAGTGATAAGAATGAACAACAATAAAGGTACAGTAAAATGTAGAATTGAGATTGAAAAGACATAATATTATTAAGAACAAGATATATTGTTACTGTCTAAATTTCACTTACTTCAAACATAGGTTCATAGGTTTCACACAGGTTAATCTGCCAATCTACAATATAGACAGCTATGGAATAACTAACGGACAGAGATCCCTGAGACTATATCTTATCAAATATGGGCCTGCAGCCTGATGTGTCTCAGTTTGGATGTCCTTGACACCAAAAGGTGGTGGTACGAACCACTGCTGTGTATAACACAATTAAAAGAATAAAGCTCTCCACTTTTACTTGATGGATTTCATGTTTGATCAGTTATGTGAGTTTTTTGATCAGTAGAGGATGGCTGCAACACTTTTCCTTGTGTTGTCTCTTTTCTGACTAGGGTTTTCCAGAAGTGGTCAGTTGGTTGGATGATGTGGAGCCTTTGCTCTTTTGCACGCCCCTGGTCAGCGTCCTACCCAGAACTCGTCTGCTTGTGAACAACATCACCACTGCGTCCACAAAATCCTGGAATACACAGCAGGTATCACACAGCCCATCTTAGATTAAACTTTTTTATGCAATTCTGAAATTTTATTAATGTGAACAGAAAAATAGAATAAATAAATACAGACATTAACAGAAAGAAATAAAATTGTTTTTATACAACTGTTTTGCCCCATATTGGAATAGGCTATTGACTTGAAAGCATCGAACCCTGAGCCTATGACTTTTACTTTGTGTGATGATCTCTTTGTGCTTCCTCTGATTAAATATGCTTCCTCTATTTGTCATGAGAAGGTTTGTATGACAGTATCTCAATTAGCTGCTCAATTATTAAGTGGAGAAGCAAAGCAAAGACGTCATCAGTGTTGACACTGTGAATGAACAAAAAACTCTCTTCATATCAGATTGCATTCGTCTCTGATCATGAAAACCAGCATGATACGACAGCTACATAACACAATATTTTCCCCATTTTCTTCCCCAGGCTATCGCAATTTTCAAAGAGGGGCTTAATACTAAACCAAACTTAATCAACCAAGATTTTCTGTAAGTGCTGTGTGATAAATGTTTTTCTCTATGCTCATTAATTCTCTGTATCCAAATTTATGAATTCTTTTTGGCAACAGACGCTCTATTCTTCTCTCTCTTTTTAACAGTCTACTTTGCAGCTACACAATATATATAACAGCTATGTGTATCTATTGACACTCACCTGTTTATGTAATCAGGAGTCTGGGAACAGTGGGTAAGGGTGTGAGCTGCAAGGTCTTACAGGAACGTTTTCGGGCTGATCCTTCACCTTCTTCACTGAGAAGAATCCTGGCCTTCCTCAGGCAGCAGCCTGGTCCTCTTCACACCTCCCTGGTAAACTTGCCTGCTTTAATTTTGCTTATAATTCTACTGTCTGTTTACATGTGATCTATATCTATATGTCATGTGTCTTTGTTCTTCTGGACAGAAAAAGTGTGTGATCGATGAGCTGTATCAGTTTGAGTTCTTCTCTGAACTGCTTAAAGACCTCGGAGCTGAGATTGCCCTGTCCATGCCGTAAGTCAGAAGTTGGCATTAGGTACTCCACTATTAATGTGTTAACATCATTTTTAGATGTTTCAAAATGATTGCAGGGGATCTGATTGTGAGTATAAGAATTATATGTTTAAAACCTTCACTGAAAAAATACTAAATGTACTTTCTTGGCAGGAAAGATATGGGAAAAGCAGTTTGTGAATCGTGGTTTAAAGTTTATTGACTATATAATGAAAAATATTCTATGTCATTTAATCCCTGTGTGTTTGTGTGATTACTTGCAGGGTGAGCACCATTAAGAAGTTTTCTACAGATATGATGGATGCTCTGAGGAAGATGATTATTCAGGACCCTCATCACTTTCTCTTGCTGACTAGAACAAAGCAGGAGCTGCTGGTGGACAAAATAGTGCAGAGACTGGTCAGTTAGAGCCACACCGTGTTGCCACATTGATCCCTTTCTTATTATAAAAAGTTAAAAGTCAAAGAAGAAAGAATTTGAGTTTGACAACAAGAAGATTTATAGGTGTTCAGCAGTGCAGATTTTCAGTTATTATTATATTATTATTTCCTGGGTTATTATTTTCTGCAGGGCATGTACACGGGGGTCTTCACTGAGAAGGAGTTTCGTTCATTGGACATTATGGCACCGTTTGTGGTGGATGAGGTTTTCATTCAGCTGGACCGCAACTTCTTCATTAACAATCTGGATTTTCTCGGGAGGCTCTGCTACAGTAGCAGCAAGATAGACATTGTGGCTCGCATCCTGCAAGAACCTGCTGCCTTCGGGTAACGTTATCACCTTGTTTTTTTTTCCTTCTTCATTTTGTCTCTGTTGCGGGCAAAAATGCTTTATTGAACAATGAATTTATAAACAACAAGGCCGTATAAACATGCCATTGGATATATCCTTGGCATGTGTCCGAACATTGAATAAACATTGAATTATAAAAATAAAAATGTATGTATGTATGTATAATAAACACACCTAATAAAATGTATTAAATAATATAAAAATGAAATCTTCATTTTAAAGAAAAAGGTAAATACAGTCAGGGTCAAAAATGTTCCGTTTTTTCTCAGGATAAAATCCCACTAAGCAAACTTAAGAAATCAGCCTTTTGATGATGCACATTTTAGATTTTTAAATGTACCTTTTTTATTAATTAGCTATACAGTGATGTATGTTATCAGCTGTGGGGGGGAATCCAATTATACAAGATACATGGTTTCATATGACTATGAGCTATTCATGTAGCAGGAAACTGTGGAAAGATGATGAAGTGTTCTTATGTTTCCTCACAGTCCAGTCAAGAACTGGAATCAGACAACACTCAGCCAGGTGGGCCGCTTTCTCTTCTTCCTGCCAGACGACAAACTGCAGGAGATTTCCCTGGTGAGTTTACTGCTGTATTTGTTTTACATCATTATTACTTCTCAGATTGCGGAAAATTTCAAATCGAATGAATCAGTAGCTGATTCATCCGATGTCCAGAAATCCCTAGTGAGGTGTTGGGATTGTTACTTGATCCCGTGGCAGGTTAGGCCAACAAAGGCTGTAAATAAATCCCTTAGGTGTCACATCAGCAGTAGGTGTCAGGATCAGGTGTAAAGTTCCTGTTTTCCTGTAAACTATCAGTGTGTGTCTGTGTCTCTTCATGTCCATAATATGTGTTGTGTTTGTATTCCCACAGGCGTTGATGACTGTGGGGCGTATAGAGAAGTTGTTCATGAGCCAGCGACAGTGGGAACAGGGGGATGTGGGGATCCACTGTTTAGACAAGAATGAGATGCAAAGGCTTTCTGAACAGCAGCAGTTTGTTCTTCAGTTTTTCCTGGGCTTCCTCAGAATAAATCCTGGTTCACGTGAGCATCACTTTGGTTGCTAAAATCCCTGAAATAACCCTAATGGTACTTTCTAAAGGAATAGTTTGACATTTTGGGAAATACGCTTTCATGCTGAGAATTACATGAATTACAAGCTTTCATATCTGTCTATTCAATATAAGTCTATTAGCCAACAGAAGTTAGCTTAGCTTAGCAAAAAGACTGGAAATAGGGGACAACAGTTAGCCTAGCTCTAAGGAATCAAAATCCACCTATAGCACCTATAAAGGCTGACTACACATTATGGTTTTACAGGGGATGTGTGGAACTATTTCTTGGACAGGTGCAGTTACTTCCTAGAGTCTTGCAAGGCAACCAGTGGATGCTCCGTGTCCAATGTCAAACTATTCCTTTAATGTATGGCACAAAACACACAAAACGAGTGTCAACAGCATCTCCTGATCAGATATTTGTGTCTGTGTCCTTCGCCAGCGACTCCTATGGTTCCTACTTGTGAGATCCTGCGAACAACAGCTCCGTCTGCCTGGACCTCCAACAGCCTAACAAGCATGTCTCCAACAGCCTTCTCCAACTGTCTGGAGCTGATCGGTCATGACCCGTTCCTCGCATCCTACATAAGCAGCCAGCTGCTCAAGAAGGTCAAACAGGTGAGATTCATTTGTAGTCTACTTCAGTCCATTAAACAACCTCTCAGATGTGTTTAATTTAATGCTGCAGGCTAGTTTCCCCTCCTCGGGCCAGGTCTTAATACTATGCGTCTGCTCTGTTTTTCCTGGGTCCCTCTGGAATAACGTGTGTGTATGAAGATATACGGCCCCGTCTCATCCTTCTCCCAGTCTGTGATCTCTCAGCTGGGTAGAATAGCGATAGAGCTATCAGTAGAGGAGCTAAGCAGCCTCCAGCTGACTGAGCGAAAGAGCATCGCTGCTATGGGGACTGTCAGTGCCTGGAGCAACAGACAGGTAACTACTGTACATACTAACATATAAAATACACTTTAAAAATGACCACAGAGAATATTTGATCCTTATTAAAAGGCAGAATCATTTATAGTAGTCAAACAATACAGCTGGACACCTTTGATGCAGGTGTTTGTTTGTAATGCACCAGTATTACACTCTTAGATTATAGCTGCCATGTGAGAACAACACAAAATTTGATAGAAATTGATGATGCTTGATGAATGATGCTTTTAATTTGATTGAAAGTGAGAGGAGCAATGAGAGTAGACTGAAATATAGACAGTAAAGCCAGTATTTCCCAGCTCAGTATTACCCAGTGGTCCTACAACTGCGGGGTAGGGCCCCCTGGTGGGGCAAAGAGCCATTGCAGGTCAGACATGAATGACCAGGGGGAAAATATGGAGTCAAACAAAGATAAATAAATGTGATTAATGTAGAGAAAATAAAAAAACAAGAGTTTGCTGATGCTATTGTGCTGCTCTATAGAAACCTTTTTCAATCTCTGAAGGTATAGCAGAAATATGCTATAACCCAAAACACTTCAACAGCACAACAAATCAGAGCTTTCCAAATGACCATAAAGTTGAATTATCTCCTCACTACACACACAACGTTCATGAAAGTGGGACTTATTGCAGGGCCGTTGTATTAGACTGCATCAGTTTTAGCTAGGTGTACCTTCAATAATAAAGTGAATATATGTTCATAATGGACCATAACTCTTGTTTTCATCCCAGCTGGCTGCGCTGTTTACCACGGTGTTAAACTCCACCAAGAAGAGTCCGAGCCAGCTCGACTCCAGCCTACTGGTGGCAATGGGACACATTGTGTGCGGAGCTAAAACCACAGAGATGAATGTTTTCAATGCTGTTGAGTTCAGGTGAGAAGATAAAAAATATTTTTACAGGCACTTTTTAATGCTTTTTGAGTCCTGATGTTGTAACACTTGGAATCACTCTGCTGCTGATGACAGTCAGTTTCACTTCTCGTGCTGTGTCTCTCCCTGCTGGCTGCAGTAAGGCGGTGCTCTGGCTGGGTCAGCTGAGGCTATCTTGTTCAGAGGAGCAGCTGCAAGCTCTTGTCCAGCTGCTGACCCATAGCCTTGCTTTTGGACCCATGAGTTCATGGGGAACTGATGTCTTTATTGAGATTGGAGTTCTGGCAGGTATTGTGCATTTACTGTCTACATCATCTGGCTTTCACCAATTTCCGATATTTTTACACATAGATAGATACTTTATTTATCCCGAGGGAAATTCAAGTATCCAGTAGCATACAAAATACAAAACATACATTAAGCCTACATTAGACTAAAATTAAAATCCCTAACCTTAAGAATATAATTTAAAATAAAATAGAAGATAAAATATAAAGTATACATTAAACATACATTAGACTAAAATTAAAAACCGTAACCTTAAGAATAGAATTAAAAATAAAATAGAAGATAAAACATAAAGTATTATATATATAGATATATATATAGAATATATAAAATTAATAGTAGCTACAATAAACGGTGCGAACAGTAAACAGTGCAAATGGACATATGTTCACTTATACTAGGAAAATGTTATAATTGGTCTAATTGAATTCAATTATATGTTACTGGGAAAAATGTACAGTTTTTCCTTGCCCCGATTATCTGTTTTCTTGACACCCACTAAATGTATTCTCTTACTCTCTTATTGCTGGATCCCAGTGTTTTTGACTCAGATGAACATTTTGCACTTGTTACAGCTGGTCTCCCAGACATGGCTATGTCAGCATTGGTGAAAGAGCAAATTGAAGGAATCACACCTCTGGCTATCTCGATGATACCACCTGATAAGTTTGCTGTAAGTCAATTAAAACAATGAGACAGTTTTCATTTCGCATTTTCATTCACTCTTATTATTTGGATTTTAGAACAATGGTGGTGTATTCATTCATGTTGCGTCACCTCTTCAAGGTGGTGTTTCACCAGAGGCAGATCAGCGTGTTCTCCTATGAGCAGGCTGCAGAAGTAACCGGGGAGCAGCGTTCTGCTTTGTCGGATGTTCAGATGACAGCTCTGGATATGGTGCTGACACCCTGGGAGGACAGGCCTGTAGATTTCAGAGGTAAACCACAGAAAATCTTAGAAAATCCTCTTGTTCACTGATAATTGTAAAGAAGGGTAATTTTCAAAAGCTCACTCAATTTGGTTAATCTGGCTGAAGGTGTGTCCCAATTCCATACTAATATTATACACTACAGTACGTTATATATTTGTAATTTAGTGTATGTACTCGAACTATGACTTTACAAATAAAATGTGCAAAATGTTTTTCCAAAGATGTAATGCTTTATTTTTTTGTTTTCTTGCCTGAGATCATCCTGGAGCAGTCTCACCATCATCTACATTTTTTAAAAAATTTTTACAGCTGTAAGTAGCTCTTCTATGGCTTTTGTGCACCAGCAGCATTCTTGAACTATAAATATAAGTTTTTGCTTATAGAAAGATGAGACAATACTTTTTTTTTTGAGTGCCACTAGCAGATATTATCAGATCTTACCAAGAGGGGGTTTCATTTTTCATTTTTTTAAAGTATGAATACATTTTATACACAAAACCCAGTTAAAATAGTATGTAGTGTGTAATTGGGACACATTATGGGACATAATTGGGGCTTAAGTGCTTTAACAGTTTCACAATTACATATATCTGTTTGATAGACTGAGTTTGTGGAATCATGAGCTTTATTTTACAGCAATCCTTGAATCCTTGAGAGAGATTCTCATATGAATGTTTATGTGCTTATGTAAAAAAAGAAACAGAAGCACTTGAGATGAGTATTCTTCAACTCTAGAAAGTGTCATGACATACATAATGACATTTTTTACAGTGTTTTTTGCTATGATATATAAAGACAGATAATCCACTGGGATCATATTTTGCATGGCTCTACATTTCTATTGGTTTCACTGTGTTCCCGTAGGAAAGTCAATGGGTTTGGCCCTGAGCCACAGTCCTCTGTGTCTCATACTGGGAATGCTGATGCTGCTGATCGTCCTGCCCTGCCCTGACCTGATCTGCCCTACATGACCCCACTTACCCCTGCTGGATCAGGAGACAACCTCCTCAGCCACATTAACCAAGATGATCTTTTATTATTTATCTGTGCAATACCATACCTCTTTGAAATAAGCAGCACTTCAGGATTTCTATATACTGTATTCAATGAGAATGTAATTTATTTTGTGCAACTATCACTTTGACGCGTTCAACATTCAGCACTGGAAGAACCAAATGAATAGTTTAAAGAAAAAACACAGTACAGTGTAAACATATATCCACCAAGTCTAACCAACACCCACAGGATTATCTTCATTACACTTGGCTAATTTATTTATTTATTAGTTTTTTTGATAAACCTGTATGAACCCTGACTGTCCCGATATATCCTTCTCAGGGATGTGACGCCATACCTAGCAAATCAACCCAAACACTTAAACACTTTAGATATAGTTGTTATACAGTTATGATGAGCAAATTTAAAGTGTTGCAAAGCTATAAAGTTATATATTTTTGTGAAATTATATAATATTTTTGTCAGTGTAAAAGCTGTAATGTTTGCTACATTTATATACCCATCCTGAGTTATCTTGATTAGATAATAGGTACATAATGCTCATGTAAGACCCGACTGTATTAATATTGGTCAACTTCAGTCTATTTTTGCTGTGAGTTTTGTATTGTTGTGCACACTCTCTGGTGTGAGAAATATAGTCCTAAATTATTAAAGTGAACCCATCTGCCTCTGATTGACTCAGTTTATTTATTATTTTTGATTAAGCGCAGTGAAATTGTTCAAAATGTTCTCACTGATATCTCACATCTGCAGTAAAAGTCTGTGTAATGTATGTTTATATATGATGAACTATGTTGGGGATACAGCTCGCAAACAAGAAAATAAAAACATAATATAAATAGATCATCCAAGTTATTAACAAACTATGTATATATTCGTATAAACTAACATTTATTTTGACTTTTTTAGGTCAGCATTATGAAAGTAATTAATTAATTATTAAATAAGTAATTATTAGTAAGTTAAATATTACAATTATAAACACTGAAAATGAGCCAACAAGGAGATTTGTAGCTACTTACTGAGTCATATTTTTGATTTACTATCGAATAATTTTGTCTTAAATCTTTAAATAAATAAATACATAATAATAATAATAATAATAATAATAATAATAATAATAATAATTCCCAATCCAGTGCTTCCAAACTCTGTCCCCCAACCAACGCCACATCATCCTCTACCTGTTCACTATTTGATAAAACCAGCCCGGTGGTGTTGTCAGTGTCATGTTGCCTGAAGTAGTCCGGGGAAGTTAGATAAGCTGAGAGAGTGACGTCCAGAAGGTGGGAGCAGTTTCTGAACGTGGCCAACGGGCTGCAGCACTGACTTCACTGCGAGCCTGTCAAACACAACCAACACAGCCAACATGGCGGACTGGGGTGAGAAACTTAAGTTGGAAGGATAGCTATCCGTACATCATCCGCTAGCCACAGCCTTTGTTTATTTATTTTTTTTTACCTAGCCTAACATTTTGTTATTGTCAAACGCAGTCGTTAGATGTGGATTGGACTAACGAGTTTCATGTTGTCGTTTTTACAGACGCTGACACATTTGAGGCGGAGGAGCCGATTAAAAAGGCGGCAGCGATGGACAAATGGGAAGGCGAAGACGAAGATGAAGAGGTTAAGGTAAATCTCCTTCGGTTTTAACTGGGGTTTAAATTGGCCGTCGTTTGTCAGGTCAACGTTACGCCAGTTCTTAGCTGTGTCAAGCCAAACGTCGGGTTAAAAAAAGCCTCGTCGCCCCCGCTGTGGAGCCATGCTTCAACGCGGTTTCAGGCTGCCTGTCAACCCCCGAACCCCCCCCCGAAAGCCCGTGTTAGCTTGTGCTAGCTGGCGGCTAACTCATGTGGCTACTAACCGTTAGGCTACTACTCGGGTTTTCAACTGGCGTAACGTACCGTCATCACAGTGACCGTTAATGTTGCCAGTCGACGGTTGAGACATAACGGAATATATGGATGCTAATGATAGTTGTTGTTTTTGTTTTCTTTAATCTGGGTGCTGATAGTTAGCGATGTTAGTTCTTGGATAGCCGGGTTGAATTTTGATAACGTAGCGGGAAGCTAACCTCTAACCGGGCCACTTTGCTAGCAAATTCGCTAGCTCCCATATCGGCTTGCGCCTGAAAATGCGCTTTAATGGTCGGTAACCTCGACGGTGGCGTCGTTCACCGACGTGGTTTTCGAGTACTTGGCTAATGTGTGGTTCATGTAGACGGGTGAGCCCATTATTGCCCAATGTTAGTTGCATTAAATGATTATAGGAGATTAGCATTGGTCTCCTGTCCTGAATCCCCCCTCCTCCTCCTCCAAGCTTGGGTTACGTTCAACATGAGGCGGCGTTAGCTTGCTAACCAACTTTAGCCACAATCAGATGAAATCCTCATCTGGGTCGATGACTCAACTCAGCCAAGAACTAGGCCTAGAACTTTCCAACCTCACAACAGGCGTGTAGCAGGAAACTGGTGCTCAGTTTATACTACTGTACAGATGGTTATTGACTGAATGTTGACATGGTTGCTATCCCGAAAACTCAGATAATTGACCAAGGGAAAGTGCTAGCAGAGGCCTCTACAATTGTTCCGTTTTCTGTCACATATGGTGGCCAAACTATAGAAACTGATGATTTCATGTTTTCTTTGGTACAAACTATGGTCTTATTCAGCAAGCAGGGCAAAATGTTTTTGACAAACCAGGGACTAACACAAATAATTACTGCCCAAAATAAATACTTTTGTAATCCAAAAGTGGATTGTATTGAGATATTGTTTGTTTTTATAGTATGGTCAAATTCAACAGCCTGCTATTCAAAGTGCTTTAAGTAATTTACAGTTTGTGAAGTATTGAATTTTGCAGATAAGAGTGTGGGAAGTTATTTAAAGAAGCTAAAGGATAAGACTTAACGTAGAATCAGAATTAATTTTATTGGCCAGGTATGTGGACACATACAAGGGATTTGACTCCGGTTATACATTCCTCTCAATGTACAAACACAAGCTAAGCATAAATAAACAGGACAACAAGCTCAACAAAATAGACACAAACTACTATGTATAGTTATAAATGCATACAAATATATAAAACAACAATAATGTGTAGACCGTAGATCATGATGATTAACAATGGTTATGTGAATATTATTGGAGTACATTTCACCACTGATAACTGGGCAGACCTTAAATTGCATGTTTAAATGGTGTCATATCAGGCTGGAATCATTATCTCAGTATTATGTTTGATATTTTCCAATTACATTGTAAGTCACAATATTGAAGATGTACGTAAAGTCAAACATACAACCATGTTTCCTCATTAAGTATTATAAGAGACTAAATTCTTTGTGTCAAAGAAAAAATTCAAAACAATTTTTTAGAACAATAAAACATTCTGATTTTACTGAAATTTCCTACCTGAGTATCTTTAAGTATCAAGGTCTTACTGGTGTGGATGAACTTGGTCTCAGCGATCATTGCATACTATTGTGGCCTAGCTGCCTATGGACATTTGTCTTAATTAGTGTTTGCCTGTGTAGTCTTCGTAAATAAAATGACAGCTATCCCATCTTTCTTTTTTCCCCCACAGGATAACTGGGATGATGAGGAAGAAGATGAGGAGAAAAAAGCAGAGATGACAAAAACAGGTATGTTCTTTTTGAAACGAGACAAATACACAACACATTGTACTGTATGTTAACCAGTGGCTAAGCTGTGTGCTCTTTCTGTGACTTCACATTATTCCATTATTTGGATTTTCAGAGACAAAGGTTTCTGAAAAGAAAAAGTTAATGGAGAAGATCAAAGAAAAAGAAAACCGGCTAAAGAAAAAACAGCAGGAGCTGAAGGAGAAAGAGTTGCAGGATATGGAGAAGGAGAAGGAGCTCTCTCCTGAAGAACAACTCGCAGAGAAGCTAAGAGTGAAGAAATTACAGGAAGATGCAGACTTGGAGCTAGCAAAAGATGCTTTTGGTAAGTCAGGATCAAATGTGAAAAATCATCTTGTTCCTTTGTTATTGCAAATATAAACTAGTCTTCCACAATACACACTACCTTTTTATGAGAATATGCAATTCTATATTCAAATGTAATGTTTATTTTGTGCTTAGATTGCTAAAGTCCTCATTTGATTGCTCCCTTGGTTCTTTCTTTCACAGACACATACTGTAGATGCAGCTTACTGCCACTCATTATTATTTTTAATTTTAATTTGTAGTGTATTTCATGTGTTTGTGTTTTTAGCTGTGTCATGTTTGTAGACTCGGCGATATTTTGAGGACCTTCAAAAAACCGATACCACTATTTCCTTAGCTTGTCCCTTGTACGTGTGGTATTAAAACTAATCACTAAAAGACAACATGTTCTAAGTTGTGGGTTTCTGTACTGCAATTTCTTGTTACTTCGGTCATCTAGCAACACACTCGAGGTCCAATATAAAAGTTGGGTTTTGCTTCTGTGACTCTGTTCTTTGAAGAGTCATCAAACTGCTGTTCCTTTTATATTTTCTCAGGTGTCAGCAGCACTTCAAACAGTGTCACTGGGATTGATGCCATGTGTCCATCTTCCAAGGAAGACTTCACAGAGTTTGAAAAATTGCTGAAAGAAAAGATAACCCAGTTTGAAAAATCTGTGCATTATTCAAGTTTCTTGGATTCATTGTTTCGGGAACTCTGTATTTCATGTGAGCCCAGCATCTTTTAATATAATTTTCATTGAACTGTATTGATTATACTTAATATCAGTACCTTAACTTTCAATCAAAGTAGGATTGACTGATAACTATTGTTCTTCTCCCTCTTACAGTGGAAGTAGAAGACTTGAAGAAAGTCAGTAATTCCCTCTCAGTCCTACTTAGTGAAAAACAGAAACAAGAAAAAGTAAGTGACTGCATGTCCTTATATTTTTTCCCCCACTGTTGTTAATATTCAGAAGGGGGTGCTGTTTACCTAGGCCAGACTCCTAATGTGTGCTCTTAGTAGAATATATACATCTTTTAATGTGACCTTTATTTGCCTTTACAGCAAAACAAAGGAAAGAAGAAGAAGAAAGGGGTCGTGCCTGGTGGCGGTTTGAAAGCACAGCTGAGAGATGACCTTGACTATGCAGAGTTTGATGGTGGCTACGCCCAAGATTATGAGGACTTCATGTGACACTGGCTCTATCACCACTGCCCATCCCAACCCTCAACCCTCAGAAATGCAGCTGTACCTTCTCATGCTGTCCAGTGCCATCCTGGAAAATCTGAACTATGTGTTGCCCCCTTCATTTTGCTTCAGTGACCAGAGGGACTATACCAGGGAGCATCCAGTTTCACCAACTCTTTATGTTCATACATATGGAATTGCCTTTTTCTCTGTCTCATTCAGCCTCGACTCTCTCTCTCTCACACACACACACACACACACACACATATATAATCATGTAGTATCTGTTGGGTGACCCAGCTTCAATGGAGAATACATTGTAACTGCTGTTGTCTGAGTTTTGCGGGGCTCATTTTTTATTAAATGTTGCTCCTGTCAAAATGGCAGATACAGTATTGCAGTTAAGAGTGTAGTGACATAGAAACAAAAGGTTCTATGCAAATTCTTTAACCAGAATGTCATGTATATAGATAGGACTCACTTCCCTGTGGATGGTTCTCTTACAGGAAAGTATATAGTATCTATAACTTTGGTTGCCAAATTCCGAACAATTATTCAATACATTCATCTCTATCTCTGGAAAGGTTGCATTGTGGGTGATTAAAGACTGACGCAACATGTAAGTAGTAGTTGTAATTTTACAGAGAGCACATGACATTCACTGTAAGGTAAAAGGGATAGACAAGTATAATAAATGTGACTTTAAAACCTCACAGCCATTCTCTTGATACATCTCTGGATATCCTTGAAAATATGGAGCAAAGAGTGCTTATAGGTATTTTTTGTGCATGACAAAAATGTAATTTACTAATTTGATTTCTACTAATGCAGAAAAAGTATGGATCAGGCAAGTGGATTAACTTGCTACGACTGGTCTCCTAATCATTGCTTCTGCAGGCTTGTATCAAGTGTGATGAGGAGCGGGGGCTTATGGGCTTCACCCCACCATGTCTTCATATGGGCTACAGTTAGTTGAAAGGGGCATATTTCTCCTTTTCTTTTCTAGCAATTGACCAGTTTCAATGTTACATGGACAATTGGATACATACTATGTGGAAGATACAGCATCTGCAGTGTTTTATAAGCATCTAATTTAATAAATCACTGGTCAACAGTACAAGTTGTGTTTCTGTTCTTGTTTACAACATCAATGAAAGAAACTTTAATTACACAGCATCCAGCTCACAAGTTACTGATTTTTAAGAGATGTGTAATAAATACTCTATTTACAGTTTCAAGTAAATATTTACCACAGTACAGTTGAAAATGTAAAGTAAGAGGAAAAACAATACAAATATGCCTTGGGAAGAAGCTGGAAGAAATAGGCCTAGCTTTGTTTAGTTACATATTCAATTAATTTGGAAGAATCAATATAACGTTTGTACCAAACAAATACGGCTGACTACTCCGATCTGTTGATTTGTTGTGCCTTCAGTGTTTAGCTTCTGGCCTTTGTGCGTCCTCCTGTAGGATTTCTGGTGCTACGTCTCCTACTGCTCCGAGGCACATTGGCCCTCTGCCGGCGTCGATTCTGTCTGCCTTCTCCTCTTACCACGCTTGTCACTGTCTGACCTTGAGCATTCTGCAGGGCCTGGAAGACACTCGTCTTCGACACGTCACGATCTCCACAGGTGAAAGTCAGCGCTATGCCCTCGTTGCTCTTCATGACACGAGATGTACCATCAGAAGTGCCATCAAAGCAGCGTCCAAGTGCAATCTCTTTGGCTGTGCGGGGATCCTGGTCTGTCACTGTGTAAATTCCGTAGTTATGGCCCAGAGGATCAAGAGGTGCTAGCATGGTGAACTCGTTGGTGTCGTTGTTGACTGCCAGGGGCAGGTGGTTGACCAGATACTCCTGAAGCATTGTGTTGACTTGGTCTCTCTTACAACTTCCTTGTGGAATCACTTTCACCAGGGTACGATCTACACGCTCCTGATCATACAGCATCCCGCTGCACTTGAACTCCAGGCACACAGCTGAAATAGTTGCCTGGTCCATGTCACGGATGCTGCGAGTGTCTCGGAGGCCATACAGCTGGCCTACTGTCTTTGGGTGGGTGCCGCCCATGTTGCGGGACCGCACATTGAGCTCATGTGGGCTGTTGAGTTTGACTTTAATGTAGCAGGCTCGATATTCCAGGGGCTTGGGCCACCAGGTCAGGTAGTCCTGTGTCCAGCTCATCGGGTCATCTTCATTGAACGGCACTGTGTTGTAATCGTAGCGGTCGCCTTCTACTCTTGAGAACCGGAAGTGTGGCGCACTGAATGGGGCCTCCTCGCATTCTTTCAACTTGTCAAATGCGTACACTGGTCCGTTACCTTCCTCAGCTGTGTTGGCACTTGGTTTTGCCACATTGATGCTGAATGCCGTCTTCTTCACTCTGGGGTCCTCGTGGTCAGTCCGCCTGTAGTTCAGTTTACCCAAATAAGGCTGAGGCACTCCAATGAGGTTGGGATTGAGTTTAGGGGCAGAAGCTACAGCCTCCAGCTCCTCCCCTCCAAGGTTGGCCATGACATAGGCAGAGTAGGCATCAGCTTTTTGTTCATCGCAGAAGGCAGGAAGACAGGCACCATTGGGGCCAGTGACGACACTATCAAAACGGCCCCAGGCACGTGGGTTAGTGGAGTAGCCAGCTGTGGGCTCCATGTTTATAAGACTCACCACAACTCCTTCGACCTGCTCACTGGGCATGAAGCGTTCACTGCGGAAGGCCCTCACTTTCACATAACATCTGCGGTTCTCTGGGACATCCAGGTTAAATAAACGTCTCTCTCTGATCTCCATGTTGCCAATCAGAAAGGTTCTCTCCTCCCTTTTCCCTCTTCTTTTCTTCTCTGCCTGCAGGCTTCCTTCCTCCTCCCACAGGCCAGTATCAGGGTTCAGTGACCACAGCTTCATGGTATTCAGGTGCTCAGACATCTTCACCTGGGCAGAATCCAGGAACACCTTCACTTCACCTGCATTCAGCGGCTCATTGTTTTCCTCACCTCTAAAGTCAACTGAGAACATCCCATAGGTTCTCAGCGGCAGGGTATCTCCTTCATCTCCTACAAAGTTGAGATCACTTTGAGCTGCAGCAGCTGTGGAGACATCTCTGGGGTCGAGAAATGTTATGCTAGCATTTACGTTACCCATGAAGACTTCCCCTTTCTCTGTGTAAAAAGAATTGGGAGGAATCTGGATTTGAACCATTGCCTCCTGGCCCTCCACCTCCCCAAGCTCCAGAGTGTTGATTTCTGTAGAGCTGATGGTCACCGGAGCTTTCTTTCTCAGAAGTTTGATCTCATGGTAAACAGACCCTCCTTTGGTGTTAAATGGGAGTACCTTTGTAGTGTTGACAAATTTCTGCATGTTGTCCACAAAGGTCAGGACTAGCCTCTCTGTGTCTGGAGGAACCTGGATGGAGAATGTACCTTTGTAGCCTGTGCGACTGATTCTGACTCCATTCATAAAGATATGGCCAAACCTCATTGGCTCACCATTGTCTGCAGCAATGGCCCTACCATGCACAATGGCCTTGGTGTCCACACATTTCTGGCAACCACAGTCAGTTACCACCATGGTGGGCAGTTGGTAGCCCTGGCATGTTAGCTGCCTCTCCTCCATCTTTTGCACACCACAGCAGTAAGCCACTTTGTCTTTGCACCTGATGCCATTGTCCAGCTGTCCAGCACATGCACTTGAGGGGCACTTGCCCACATCATAGTAGAAAGAGTCAGTGCTGTTTTGGTAGCAGTCATGTGGAAGACGGATGAGGTGGGATTCAGGCTTCGGATTACACGAATGCTCATTTCTACCTGCATAAGAGAAGGAGAAATCAAAATGTTGATTTAATTTGATCATTTTGCCATCTTTCTGATCTAAAATACAGTATGTAGCTCAAATATATTACTCTAGCCAATGTTCAATATTGTATCAGTCAATTTATTGAGAACATACCTAAGACTTTGAGTGTAGCTGGTTTTGTCTTAATAGCTCCAGATGGACCACTTGCTCTGCAGTGATACTCCCCATTCTGCTCAGGACGCAGATCTCTTAGAACCAAGGTGCTCTCAGACTGTTTCTCCAAGAGACTGTTGTTATGAAACCTTTTTGTTCACACAGAAAAAAAGAAGCAGTCATTAAATATACCATATTATTATGAACATTATATATTATTAATAACATTAGATGCATCTATCTGACATCAATAACATTTTTTAACTATAATTTCACTATTTCTTAAGTCCTACCATTGGTACTTGTCAGGTTGTGGTGTTCCTGCCACTTTGCAGCAGAAGGCAGCAGTTTGTCCCTCCCTCCTGGACTTGCTCTCGGGGTTGCTCAACACATGAAGCTTCTCTGACAATCACAGTGAGAGAAAAAATACACATTACTCATTAGCTTCATTACATGCTTAAAACCCTGTCAGCAATATCCAGCACAAAATAAAGTTGTTGGTTACAAAGGTAATATGATCTGCAATCAAATATTTTGGTGTAAATCCACAGACATCCACTGTACCTGTTCTTTTTAGCTGGACACTGAGGACAGAAGTACGCTCAGTACTGTGTGGCACAATAGCGTTGAGGGTGGCATGACCCTGCAGGCTGACTGTCAGGGTGGTGTTGCCATCAGGGCAGATACCAGGGATGCGGAAATGCCCGTTGTGGTCAGTAAGGGTAAGGAGTTTGCCAGAGCGAAGGATGGTAGCCCCTTCAGCAGTGAGGCCCCCGGCGCCACGAACAGAACCCAGCAGAATGTGTTCTTCACACATGCATGCATCACACTCAGCATTTACCCTCCCCATCATGCACTGCAGGGGGCAATCTAAGGGGAAGAATTAAACAAAGTAAGCCATTTTGTGAATAATTGAGTGTCCCACATTTGATGAGCTAAGTCAGGACCGGACTGAATCAAAAGAGAATTGCAGAAAAAAAGTCTGTCCAATTAAACCAAGGCTAGCTCACCTATTTTCGGGCATTCTGGTCCATTGCATGCTTTCCCTTCCACTTTAGGCCCACTGCAAGGCATAGAGCGAGTTTGGCAGTTTCTGGAGCGCAACTGGACCCCCAACTGACCACAGAGGGCAGGACATAGGCTCCAGTCAGACCATGGACCCCAGGTACCCTGAATGTTCACACTGTTATCTGTTGAAACAAGAGAGTGCAGGTCACAGTCAGATTATCACCTGAAAATATGAATCATCAAAGAGATTTCTTATTTGCATGCACATCACCAGCAAAGTGAGAAGCTGGGCTTTTGAGGTACAAGACTTAGTGTATCGTTTTGCTTTTACAATGAGACCAACTTTTGGGGGCAGAGTGAATATTAAAGGAGTTTCGAGATCACACCTTTGGGACAGAGGAAGCGCACTGCGTAGTTGGAGCAGTTGTGATCAGGACCCTGCTCATCATTGAGGCACCAGAAGCCCACAGTAGGGTCTGCATGGACCTTCTCCCCAGTTTCACGGGCTGGGACCCATTCAGTGGTTCTGGCTTCGATTGCCCGGGGAGTCTCACACACTCGGGCCCGGTAGTAGAAGCGAATAGCTTCCAGCTGCTCATAGTCTCCACGGCCTCCAGGGTGATCAACATTGAACCATGTGGTCCACTCAAAGTTGTCTGGACACAGAACAGAAACAAACATGGCCTGAATACAAGCTCAAACTAAATGCGTTCAAAATATTGTGTCTATCACATGTTAGCAACTTGACTCAATCCACCAGGGGAAAAATGACTTATACAGTTATGGACTATGTATTTGGTTTAAATTTAGGAATAAAAGTTACCATCAGAGTGGTACGAATCAGGGCTTGACTCTTTGTTGTTTCTTCTCCATGATCCTGCAAGAGACAAATCAAAACATTGCAAATTTCTGGGCTGTATCTTACACAACTTAAGTTAGTGAGTTGAATTTAATTCAAAGATGAAATGAAATCATTTGAGAGAGATGTTCAACATTACATTTGACATTCAATTTTCCTTGGAGTATACAGTGGTGATGTTGAGTGCAGGGCTGTCTGTTTTATCAGCCTGCCTCTTTCATTATCCACTTTTCTCCACTTTGAGGTGTACACATTTGCAAGTGTCCCCATCTGATTTAAAATGTCTGTTCTTTGTAAGAAGGGTGCAGTGTTTTTCAATACATATGTGCCAATAACAAGACTGGATCATTGTGAGTGACCCACCTTGGGCTGTAACAACAGTGGCTGCGGTGATTCCCAGGATGAGAAGAAGTGGCCACACCGACATTCTCACACACTGCCGCTGCGCCTGACCCTTGAACTTTCACCTCTCCTAATATGCGTTTCAAACCAGGAACTCCAAGCAACACAGTCTCACTGGTGGGAGAATGAAGATAAAAAACAGTGAAACATTAAAAAAAAACCAATGTTCCATGTTGCATTTTTAAATTACATAACACATACCCGTAGAGTCAATTAGACAGTTATGAGTTATAAAAAATTACGTATACTTATATTGAGTTTTAGTATTAAACAGTACAAAAGTGATTAAAACAATAGTTCACGTCTACAAAAATGTTTCTTTAAGCATGATTCCATCCTCCTTGTCTTTTAGGGTGAAAAAACATGGCTTGACAGAGCCCCCCACTCAGATTACACATCTGTGTTAGCAATCACCATTTGTCACTGGAGTACTCAAACATTTCTGCATCCACTGACGAAACACTGGCTGCACAATCCTCACACCCACACACACAAGGTTTGCATTTGTGCACTTTAAGTAAGAAGAAAAATCACTGACAAAATTGTCTAAGACTAATTTCTCACTTTTGCTTTTAAGTTGAAAGTACAGAAAGTATAAGTGATTATTATTACATGATTTAGGATTGGCCAGGATGGGTTACAAGCAATAAATAAGAGTGGAGTCTTTACCATTAAATCCATGCAAGTAACCAACAGTAATTTGAAGTAAAGACTAATGTAGATGATAAATCAAGACAATAACACTCAAATTACAGGATTTGAAATTTGAATAAATTCTTCACTTGCTGTTATTTTAAACTTAAACCACTAAATCAAATGACATTTTTAATCATATAAATAACAAGTTGCACTTAGATTGTGATATTCCCCTGCCTATATAATTTAAAATACATGGTTAGCAGATTGATTTGGACACATTTAATCTCTTTCTTTCTTACCTTCCCTTCTTGTTGAATGCACTTTCCTGGTTCTGATCTCCTTCAGATTTTTATACAGAATGGCTTTCTTTACTCTTTCCCTCTATTTTTAAACTTATATTTCTCCCTCACATTTCTCTCCCCCTCCTTCGCTCTTCACTCTGCTTCAACACACTCATTCACGTCTCTTTTATACCGCTCTGCCTCCAGCACCCCTCCCTCCTCTCTCGGCAGTGTGCCACAGTGTCTTTAGATTACACTATCATCCTTCTAATTCATCACCCTTATTGTACAGTTATGACACCTAATGGTTATTAGATAGTTTTACATGTGAAAGAGGGACGATCAGGGGTCTAAGTAACAAATGCTGGTGTTAATAACTTGACCCCCCTCATTTAGTCAAAGTGGGAATTTGTCCTCTACTCTCCTCTGTTTGTACTTTGCATGCAGAATGTACAGCTTGATTAAAAAAAGGTGATCTAGTATGTAATACTTTAGAGCATCTCTAATAGTAGAAAATTGGGTTTGTAATTTATAAAAATTCCAAAAACATGTTGAAAAATTATTTATAAAACTTGATTATTTTGTTAAATTTAAAGTGCAATTTGTTGTGTTGCTTTGGCCAGTAACACCCAGCTCTTGTTTCTTCTATCATAAATCTACTGTATGTTTCTATACTTTGTTTTGTAAAGTTAAACAGACCAGTAACATTTGCCTGGTGGTTTGATTTGAGCTTATTCTAAATGTCTGCCTTTCACACAGGAAATCGGGCACTGATTTGCGTTAACAACACCACAAACCCACAAAACCTCACTGAGCCTCATTATGTAAACGTGTAGTGTGGCTGTGTTTTTCACTGTGGTGTCTCAGTGGTAACAGAAAGTGACAGATAACCCAATTCAACCAACTGGGTAAAATTTTATTTTTGATGATTTGCTCTAATTTGTTAATTAAATTAACAACAAATAAATTAAAAGGTGAGAGATTATACTGAAATGTTAAATAAATGTAAGTTGCTATCTATCTTCCAGTACAAGATGATGAAACTAACAATCTTTGAACTTCAAACAAATGCATTATCATTGCAAACATGGCTACAAAGTTAGATAATATTAGGTTGAAAGATAATTATCAGTAGGTGCCAAACCCCTGTATACTATTGGTGCACATCATACTGTTACTGCCAGCCAGACTCTGAGGTTATCATTTATTTTTTTCACATCCTGTAAAGTCGTCTGTTGTTTTTCCACACAACATTCATTAGCTGACCTCATCGTGTCAATTACAAGGCAAAGAACACCCAGCAGGGGAAGAATATAACCTAGTCCTGCACCTCAGTTTTTCCAGGCTACGTTCACTTCCCAGGCCAGGTGAAGGAAGAAATGACTTGTGTCATTGGTGGCAAAGTTAGGTCAACTAACTAGATCATAAAGTCCATTGTGCTTGTAGTTCATGGATATTACTTAGCACAGGGCATGAAAACAGGGTTGTCCTCAGAGGAAAAACAATTCTGTTCGTTACCTCATGTTTACCTTCTACCAATTACTTTTTCCTCCGCATTAGGTAGTTTGGTTTGGTGGGAGGAAAGAAGCGCCAGTGTGGTAAAATCAGGAGGCAGTTAATGAAGGATCAAAGCGATGCTTCAGGGAAATCACTGTTGTTTTTTTTCAGTGCAGAAGAAGAACTGGTGGAAAAACACTTACTTATACAGCTGTATTTATATTACATGCTTGTCTGGAAGGCACCTGAGTACAAAAATTCTCATTAACATGGTCAAGCAGGTTTGGTCTTGATATCTCAATTCAAACAAAACTAATTGGACAGCACTATTCACCATCCTCCTCATGAAAACCTAGTTTATATTCTACTTCAAGTGAATTCTTGGGGAAATTCATCAGTATTATTAATATAGCTCATACATTTGCCAAAACATTTATCCACTGACCTACACTGCACAGGTTCTTTTCATGTCTCATCACTTCCAGCCAGAGTGAAGAGTAGCGTTCTGAAGCGGTGTGTTTACAAGCTGTTTAGTAAGGACATCTTTATGGCACTTTTTTTAGGTCCTCAAAAGGACTTTATGTCCTTGTAAACAAGGAGGACAGAGGTGGTGGGTGATGTGAGGATAGGAAAGTGAGAGAATGGATTAACAAACACACAAAGTTTGGTCACCGGGCAACAGGAACAGACAGTTTACTTTCTTAACAAACTGTCTATAACTGAGTTCCAGACCTGCAAATCATGTTGGGCAAAGTCTGTGGAATTACGGCAATTAAGACAGACGATTTTTATGAAAGTGATTTTTATTAGTTTTGTGTTTTTGGCATTAAACAAGCTGCACTATGCCATGCAGAAGGTGTAGGTCATCTGTCAACAGCCTGGTATTCACTCAACATTTGTCAACAACAGTAAATACTTACTTGTTATGTAACAAATGGAAAAAGGTTTCACTGGTTTGTTTTTCCTGTTTAGTTTCTCCATTTGTTTAATTCCAATCCTTTAGACACTCATCAACAGCAGTGTTTGCAGTGATGGAAGTGATTCTTACGTACTTGTACTTTAAGTATTTCTATTTTCTGCTACTTTATAATCAATTGGACACATGTAGCAAAACTGGTTTTCATCAAACATTATTGTACATTTACCAGTTTAAAATATATACTGTAAGTTAAATTAGTTGACATGCAAATTGCAATACTGAACTATTAAAAATATATATACCATAACAGCACTATCTTTAAGAGCAATTCCTTTAACAAACTGCACATTCCTGTAATGTTTGTGGTTGAAACAGCAGAATGTTTTATCACATGTGGAGGATCCATGCCAATCACATTAACAGGGGAGCGGAGCAGGCTGCGTTCTTTCATCATAATAAATATGAAGGTTCTTATTGGCAGCTGCACACCATTGTTTTGCTACATCCTGACATCAATTATCAATCTGGAGTCAGTCCCAGAAGAGAGGTTGTACAGACAAAAACAGAGGCAGTTTAGACAAGAGCAAACAATGCAGAATTACAACCACCAAAAGATATGATTACACCAACTCTGCTGTCACCAGAATAGGTCACATGGGCACTGAAGGTCTGAAGGTCGTTCAAGTAGAACAATTTCTGCAAAAATGTCAGGGTTTTTGTTAAATTCTTTAACCCGCTTCAGCAATTGGGGATCATTTATTTAAACCGGTCCTTAAATGAAGATAAGCAGTAGGCTTATTTATGCTTTATCAAAAACTGGAGCCACCAGATTTAAAGCTGACAGGGACAGTTTCCTGTATTTAGTATATGATGAATGAAGCCATCTCAGTTCAATCTTAACAACAATCTACCAGTGTTGGGATGTAGCTCTTGAGGTTTTCCTCATGGGGCTCTCCGTGATCCAAACCAATTTCATCCTTCAGTTGAAAACCTCTCCTGGTGATAGAAGTGGTTTTCATCAAAGATGTAATTCTTGTACACTGAAAAATGATGTCCTTCCCCCAAAAGTCAAATGTGTTGACTTCTAAATGTCTTGGCAATTTCCTTGAATCTGATTGTATCCCTTACCTAAAGGAAGTAGAGTGGGCTCTCTCTCCCTCCGTGTGATGCCGGGCCCCTAATGACAGTAGCAGAAGTTACTCTGCATACTTTCACTGGTAGAGTCATTAAAGGGACCAACACCAACCCTCCCCCAGTGCTCTCTGCCTAACCTCTGTCTCCTCTCTGTCCTGGTCTGCTCTGGAGAAACATTTCATGCAAGAGTCTTCAGTACACTGAGATACTGTATGCTCCTTGTATTTCTGCTACACAGCTCTATGGGTTAGAGATTAGGTTCAAGTCTGTCTTAAAACAATACTCACATGCCCATTTGTACAATGAAATGAGTTATTGCATTCAGAAGTTCAGTTAATGATATTATGAGGCTTCAGCAAAGAGTTGCATTTAATACTCAAAAGACTCAGAAAGACTCTGTGATTTGTTTAAATCAGACAACTAAAGCCACATACTAGTTTCAACTAAACTTTGGAATATATTTTTGCACAGAATGAGGACTGTGGATTTTATCTGCATGCTGCTGCATTAGGAAGTGATCACTTCACAACTAGTAAGTAGTGGAGGAATGATTACAGTGACCAAAAGCTATTTCAGTGTAAATGTGGGCATTTGAGTATTCATTATTATTATTAACTGATCAGTATAAATTTCCCCAAGGTAACATCGTCACATATTTTGTCTGACCAACAATCAAAGATTATAGAATAGATTATATTTAACCCGTGCGTTAGAGAAGCTGGAATGAATGAATAACTTAAATGATTACTCCATTTGCAGTATAGCTGCATACTAATTTTCTAGTTTCTAATTGATTGATAAACTAATCATTTGAGATTTTGAGAAAATATGTTAACCTATTCTTTAATTTACAGAGATACATTTTCATTAAACAGCTTATTTTGTGTGTTCTCATAATTCCTGTTTTAAGCGTCAAACCATCTACTAATATAGTGTCCTCTGGCTCAAAGTAACATTTAAGTTTTAGAACATAGCCTATACCAAATAATCTTATCATTACACTGGACCGGATTACTCACAGTAAAAGCCAATAAAAGTAAATTGGTTGTGTCTGTGTCTCAGTGGAAGAAATGTTATAGGAGATTAAAGATTGATGGGCGCTCTCGGACAGAGGTGCTTATTTAACGTATGAGTAGATAAACCACAGAGGAAGTGCGCAACACAAACAGACTGTTCTTCGACATCTGATGATTAAAATGTTTCAAGTTAAACACTGTTTTATTGACGTTACGACAGAACAACTGTTGTACCTGAACATGTTCACCTGAAGGCTGTAAGGATTTATCACCAGATGCCTGTGGAAGTCTTCTGCAAAAACAAACTAAATGCTCCACTATGTTCACCAGCTAGTCACTAACTGTGTCTTTCTGCTGTTTGCTGCTGAGCAGGTAGTGTACGTGGGTTTTTTTGCTGCTAAACACAGCTGCCTGTTGTAGCTAAAAACAACACTAGGAACCAAAACAGTGAAGTTGAGTCCCAGACAGCTAAACAATGAACTGAAACTAGCTATAAAAGCTTCATAAAAGCCAACGCAGAGCTGCAGTTTCAGGCGATAATTCTCGACTTTCATGCTGTCATTTGATTTGATTATTATAACAATTTTG